CTCAAATGTATTGATTATTCTCACTGAAGTAAAATAATAACAAAATATTTTCTCAGGTATTAAATACTACTGTTGAATCCAACATTTATTCTTTGATTCTAAGAATTTTGTTAACTATAGACTACCGATAAGCATTAAAATGCATAAACATACGCTTGTAAATTTAGTTACCATTCTTTGTAATAAAATGACATATTTGATGTAATAAAATGCTAATTAAATGCTAGAAACGCAGTATCTAGATCCCGTAAACTGATGCTGAGCCGGCCGAGCTCCTAGCACTAATGCCGCGCCAAGCGATTTTATGCCTATTTTTAATCGCTTAAAAATGATACAAGCAGACTCCGTATCAAAAAAAGCTACAAATAAAAAATAAAATTCATACTTTGATCTAAAACTTTGCCGCAGGAATTTTTTTCCTGACCAAAAAATAAAAAAGTTCCTCGCTTACTACATTTTTCATGTTTTTAATGGTGTGAAAAAACAATCATCAGTTTTAATTTCCCTAAATAAATTATAAAAAATATGTTAAGGTAAAAAATAACTACATAGTAATAAGCACTAGTTTTTCCAGAAAAATAATATATCAATTTGAAATTTTTATGTTAACAAATAAGTGTAGCAGAGCAGGTTGAGTGAATGTATGTTTGTGTAAAACAGAGAGGTTCATTCGGCCCGTCCGCCTCGGTATCCCGCCAATTCGATTGGCGGGCACGGACCGTTTTTCCACCACCTAGCGCGCTATCCAGTAGAGTTATTATACATCGATGGTTTTGCTGTTTTGCTATGAGTTGGTTGGATTGGATTGAAATCGAAAATGAATTGAATATGAAACGAAACAAAACGAAACGCCGAAAACCACAACAACCCACTAAACTAACCCACAACGCCCCACAACCCGGTGGGCAGATTTTCCCATCCTTGTTAGTCAGTCGTGACGTCATCGTTGATTCGTTCGATCCGAGAAGTCGATGTTGTTTTGCAACATAGTCACTTCGACATATCGTCTATCGATATTTGATCGTTGTTCGCGTCGAATTCGTTTATCATCATGGTTGTTTCGTTGTTTGTTAGGTTCAGGTTGTTTCTTTACATTTTTATGAATATGAATCTGATAGTCACAGTAGAAAAACCTTTTAAACTTATAGGACGGTCTGTGATTTAAATTTACCGCTCATATGCAAATCTAATTGTATTATCGGATTGGAAATAAGGAGCTTAATCCAAGTTGGACGTGGCTTGTGACCAAAAGTAAAAGATATAATAAACAAGAAAGACTTAAAGCTTTACCATAGATAAAACATACTCCCTTATGGCTATACATAACCATAGATAAAACATACTCCACATAACCTAGCCAAAATCCGCACGTGCCCACTAACTCTACTACAGTACCTTGGTGGTTTTTCTAGTAATTGTGGTTATTTCTAATGGAACTTAATTTCGGGATCTTTTAACAAGATTGGACTTTGTTTTACTGATTTTCATTCAACAATGTATGCCTATTTAAGTTATTAAAATGTATTTTGTTCTCATTTGTCACCCCTAGTATATTAATTTAATATGGATATTTTGTGTTTGGTTTTAGCTAAAGATTTGTGAAATTTAAGTTGTGCTTATAAAACTATTGCCGGTAACTATTAAGTTTTGGGCATTTCAAATGCTTAATTTTAGACCCAAGTAGCAAAAATCGTTGGCAAATCGTTGGCCCAACGTTTCTGTCGATCGTTGGCCAACGGTATGTTTTGGCACTCAGTCTTACGGTTGGCCAACCAACCAATTTTTGCGGAAGGGCCAACCATCCCATTCAGGGGCGTCGCCTTGGGGGGGGTAGGGGGGGGAGCCTCCCCCCCCTAGAATCTGGGAAAGAGAAAAGTTGGGAATTTCCTTGCCACGAGTTGGGACAGTTGGGAAGTCAGATACAAGAAAAATATATTTTTAAACTGAAAAAAAATTAAATATTTGCAAAAATCCATCAAAGATAAAAATTTTTTTGACTTGGACAAAATACTTGGACAAATAAACTTGACATTTCTTAGATTTAATTTAACTTTGATTAAACAAGGCTAAACCATGGCTAAACACGCCTTATTTTAAGAAATCAATAATCAAATAGCGGTATAGCTTGTTGGAATTTCGTATACGAGAATTTTTGTTCCTTATTGGACTATGTTGGCTACCTTGATCCTGTCCTGTGTTGATGATTCTGAATGATTCGTCTGCGAGTTTGAATTTTGAAAGTGCAATCAATGTAGCCCTTCTGTTTAATTATGTTGTTTGTTAGTGTTTACAAGAAATTCAAAAATATTTTTCACGTCAGTCACATGAAATATATTTTATACCCTTTTTGTGGTATTTGGAGCAGGCTAACTGACCGGAGTACTTGCTAATAAGCAGATTAAAATAACATTAAAGATAGGTTTTGTGAATCTGTATTACCTTTAAAACTCTTATTTTTTAATAACCTAAATGCAATATTTATTATCTGAATATATTTTAAAAATCTACACAAGTTATGTATCATTCCTAATTAAGGATTTACAAAAATGAATCAACTAATTACTCTGAAACAGATCTACGTGGACAAAAAATAGCCTAAAATTTGATGTTTGACTTTCACTCTAAGTTAGATTTTTGTTTAAGTTCTAGTTTGATGAAGATGAAGGTTAACATTTTTATTGTATGTATAAGTTTATTATCAACCAAGTTGAATGTTTTTATTTTATACGAGTCGAGTCTTATTTTAGGTTTATTCTTTTCTAGACTAGAATAATATTATTTACAACACTGATATTAATATTTCATCATTACAAACTTGTTTAGGCCTACCCTAGTTGTAAGTTTTATGAATGTTAAAATGTTGATTTTAACTTCTAAAAGTATTTTAGTTTAATTATTTTGTAATAAAATATTTTTTCTATACTACTTTGTACTCTGAGGCTCATTTTATATCCCTAAAATTTTACACTGCTACGTCTGCTACCACAATGGTTTGTAAAGTTTTTTGAAACATTACTTGTTCAAGTTTTTTGAAGTCATAACATTTCATTATGAATTGGTAGAAGTTTTAGAAATTTTGTATATATGTAAAACTAGCTATGTTTTGTTAATGCAAGTTTATAAATACTGAATTGAATGTTAATGCAGTGTAGTATAATAATTTGTAGATTTTTAAAAATAGTACAGAAATTGATTTCTAAAAAAAAAATAGTTGGGAAATCTATGTTAAGCAGTTGGGAAATTTGAGGCTTCTCCCCCCCCTGGAATTTAACCAAGCAACGCCACTGATCCCATTGGGCATAAACATAAAAAACACAAAATAATAAAGATTTCGTATGCAAAGCATAATTATGAGTTGAGTAAATTGATTAAATAGTTCATAAAAACTTATTTTGAAAATAAAACGAAATTAAATTTTTTGGCCGGGTCGGGTCTCGAACCTGGTACCTTCGACATGTGAGCCTCACGCCTTACCTCTGAGCTAACTGTACTTGTTGATTAAGTGTGTTTTCAAGTGGTAAAAGAGTAGCCGACAGGTGCAATGGTCACAATTAATTAAATATTTTTGATGCTACAGTATAATATGATTCTGTTAATCTGTTTAGGCCTCAAGTAGTTGAATTGTTTTTCTGGTAGTTGGAGAGGATACTAGTATTTGAATATAGATTATTTAATTACCATTAGATTAGTAGGCTACTGTTATAATTGATTGTTATATAATGAATTAATCTTTTCTCTATAACTATTAAAAACTTGCTTAAATAAGTTAAAGAATATAAAAAAAATAATTAATTATAATAATTATTATATGTTAAGCAGGTGTTCCCCACTGTATCTAGTACCACAACATCATCTGACTTCATTCATTATTGATCCAAATTTTTACAATATTTGTCTTATATTCTGCTGCCATAACATTTATGTACTTTTAAATAAATCAATTTGTTAAAATTCGTTTTAGAATGTTTTATACTTAAACCCAACGAATGCCCAACGATTCTTTCCTTTGTAGGGCCAACGAATACTAGTTTCCGTTGGGCCAACGTTGGCAAATCGTTAACATTTCTGCCAACCATTTCCCAACCGTGCCGACCATTTCCCAACGTTGGGCCAACGATGTGTGCTACTTGGGGACGTAGGCTAAAATAACATAACAGGCATAGCCTAATTAATTGAACATCAAGAGGATGTCATAGGCTATGTAGCCTACTTTGCAAGTCCTAGGTCCTATTATTTTGGTATTAAACCCCTTTATAATTCAAAGGCATGGCATCAAAGCAATGAAGATCCAAACCTCTAATAATTTACAGTTTAGGCCTGGCCTATAAACTTAAAAGCAGTGTTAACAACTTCTGAAGCCCAGCTAGCTTAAAAGCTTCCGAATCTATTAACATAGACTTATTAGATTCTATATCCTATTCCCAATATGGCCAGCTTATGGAAATTCAGAATTCACCAAGGTCAAAAAATTAGTTATTAACAAAGTAATTTCGATTCCACTTGATCACCATCATTATCTTCTGTCACCTCCATTTCCTCTAATAGGCCTAGGGCTAAGTTAAGTTAATAGGTACTTAAGTCATATATGTAAATATAAAAATGTATAATTTAAGTTAAACTATCCAGAAAACAACATCTCGTAAGTTAAGTGAAAATTAAACAAACTAGTCAGTTATAGTACCGTATCTGAAAACAAGATTAACAAATTTTCTTTCGTTACGCTTGTCGACATACATCCAATCCAACCAAACAAAGAAAGAACAAACCAGAGAATAGAACCAAAGAACGAGATTCAAGATTCCAGAAAGATAGATTTTAGAAGGATGCGTTTCTCTAGTATAAGTAAATTAGGAGTATTCGATTATCGACTATTTTGACTTGAGGAGCTATGCGATACCAGTACGGTAATTGCATCGCATCGACGATGGTCGATGACGTCTCGACTGACTAACAAGGATGGGAAAATCTGCCCACCCCACAACCCACCCAAAATGGCTGACTGACTGACTAGTGACTGACTGCTGAAAGCTGAATGTATCTAGCTTTAACTTTAACTATACAGCACTTACAAAGCTGGATTTTGTTTATTTTTTAAATATTCTATTGGTTTCATGTGGTTTGAACATCCGAGACTAGTTTCGAGTAGGCCTATTGATACCAGTAAGATTTTTAAAGGTAAGTAACTTAGCAGCAATAATTAAGTTTGTTGATTTTTTGCAATTTAATGGTTAACTTATTAGGACCGCAGAGGATACGCGTCCGGTAACCGTACGTCGATTAGACGTCCGGCAATTACTGTCATAACCTAACCTAACCAACCAAACTTGCTGATAATGAAAAAATCGAATTAAGGTTAAATTCTTTCTCTATTAGAAAATTATAAATGCCAAAAATTCTAATTAAAGATGTACAGTTAAGAATAAATGGTATTCAATGCAAAATCTTCGACAAAAAGTTAATGTCACCAATGGGACTCGAACCCTGGACCTCTTGCATATCAGCCGAGCATCTTATCCACTACACCACGACCACCGATGGTTGGTGATGGTATTGTTGTAGTAAAGGCGTTCCAGGTTCCCGCAACCCCATGACGTCATTGCCGGACGTCTAATCGACGTACGGTTACCGGACGCGTATCCTCTGTGTATTAGGACACTTTGGCCAAACATTTTTCATTACTTCAAAACATTCATTACTTTTTATTTTTCATGTTTCTAATTTGATTTTTCTACAAGGCCTACTGTAACCCCAAGTTATCTTAGGCCTAACTCTATTCTAGACTAACCCTATCTACTTAGGTTAGCTCAGGGTCTCTAAGCAAATACAGTAACATAAAGGTTATTAGGTACCCTTCACCTTCCCCAACTCACCTAAAACGTCCTATAAGACGTTTTTACACAGTTCCTAGTAGACACCAACACTACAACTTTCTCAAATGACATTTTGGTCGCTGAGACACCTTGCCTAGTAGGCCTTACCTTAAAGACTAACCTAATCCTCCAAATAACCCACGTTACAATCTTCTAACATAGGCAGCTGATTTTTAATAGTGCTCGCCTTCAAAATCTGATGTTCGCTGTTTTGATTCAAAGCGAGATTGTTTCTTGATCCAGACGACATTAGCCTGTCATTTGACTCTCAAGTAGACCTAAGTTACTGATGCTCCTTATCTAACTAAGTTAAAGGTTGACACAAAATAACTTTAAGCTTAAGTTATCTTAGCCACAACGACTTTATCCAACCTAGTTTTTAAACCTTTTAAAAAAAATTAAACATATAAAAACCAAGATGCTCAAAACTTGTAGGCTCTACCTAGACCTATATAAAATTAATGTAACATTACTTAGCTTAATAGGAGCCTACCTAATTGTTCTGTACAGTTGATGATTTAAAACGTAATTATGATAAACTTATGTTGGTAACTTACTGTGGTATTATCCAGAGGCCACCCTTATACAGCACGCTGCGACGGTTATTTTAGGTTGGGTTATTATAAATATGTTTGTAAGTTAGGACTTTTCTCGTTGAGCTATGAATCAAACAATAGCCTACCAGATGAGTCATAAGTACTTTCACTTGCCAAATCCCCTCCAAGTAGGCCAAGGTGAAGTTGTTGACCGGAGCTCGCACATCAGCTGTCACTGCCTTTGGCAGCTAGAAGTGGCGACGCATACAAATACCGGTACCGGTACAACTAAATCCTCACCGACATCACTGCCTTCCGAAAGAGAACTCAAAGGCCGTTAATTGTAATCATGTCAAATTTGTACAGTAAGTATAAAGTATATGTTTTTCCATTTTTAATAACCCAACCTAACATAACCGCCGCAGCACGCTGTGTAAGGGTGGCCTCCGGATAATACCAAAGTACCCTTATGTTTACTTAGGCTACAGTCTTTCACGCTAGGCCTAAATATGAAAATGCTGATTCATAAATGACCGTTAAATTAAGTGGTGGGTCTATGGTTCTGGCGAGTGGAAATCTTTGACAGGGATTTTCTCCCTATTCCTTGTAGGTATTTGACCTATTTTTGGAGTAAGACGTTCCAAACCACGTAGGCTAGACATCCCCTATTTTTTGGAGAAATTCAATGGAATCATCGCTGATCCCCTAAAACCCCCCTTTTTTACTTATTAGGTAAGTAAATATTCCCCTATAGCTGTAGGTATGGGCTATTAATTAATTAACAGCTGCGTCTAAGAATATTAAGGAACATGTCAGCCTTAGTCACTAACAAGACTGCAAGATCGTTTGCACTGGGAAAAAAACATTTTGAAATTGAGCAAACATACCTACCCACATTCTCACAATTGTGGTACTAAACCATCTTATCTCCAGGTTTTATTTATTTATTTTTTTATTTTTATTTTGACTCTTAACGGGGATTTATCGACAGAAAACAGCAATAAACGGTATCAGCATTCTGACACATACTTTCTCCCATAAGTTTTTCAACAACCTTTATTATGTGTAAGCGGTGAGAGTAAATATACGGAAATGGGATTTGTACAATTTTGTTCTGAATTTAAAGGACTATAACAAACAAAATTGTTATCAAAACTGTTCGAGCCATTTTTGGGAAAATCTGATTTTTCTGTTATTTTATGGGGGTTTTATGGGAAACTGACATAATTTACAATAACTTTTGAACCACAATTTTTACAGAAATGGGATTTGTACCATTTTGTTCAGAATATAAAGGACTATAACATACACATTTTTTATCAATGTCAAAAATGTAAAAAAATCAATGATGTCAAAAATTTAAAATCAATGTGTTTTTTATCAATGGGTATGTTTTGTTGCATGTTAAGCAACATCTGCATGAGTATCCACTCAGAAGTAGTGTGCATGGTTATTGCACTAGAAGCATGTCCTCACTCAATCAGCCTTATGTTCGTTTGAGTAAATCACAATCCCAGCATCGCACTATGTACATTAATCTATTTAATAAGTTGCCTGTTTCTGCACATAATGTATCTTTCACTAAGTTTAAGTTGTCTGTTTACAATTGGTTGGTTGCAAGGCCATTTTACAAGCTCGATGAATTCTTTGTATTGCCTGTTGATATTCAATTTTAAATTCTGTCTGTCTGTGATATAGCCAAGGGCTGAGTTGTTTTATAAGTTATTTATCTGTCTGTTTGTTAGTATTGTCTTTAAATTTTATACTCTTTTCTTGCCCCTGCTATGTTTTTTTCTAACTTATTTTAAACACACTGCATTTATTGTATACACATTGCACCTGTTTTCATGTTTGCTCTAGTCTTTGCATACCTATGTTTTTTATAAACTTCAGTATTTTATTTTTAAGATGACTGTGATACTTTTTGCATGTACTCTGCACTTGTTTATATTTTATTGTCTATATTTATTTAGCCTTATTGCCTGTAAACTTTAGGCTACTATTATGACGTTCATCCATTGCATGTGTTGTACATAGCGTTAACGATGAATAAAAAAACATGTACTTTGCATTTTTCCAAAGTATTTTCCGTTATGGTCTTATCTTCTGGGGAAACAGCTGCAAAATTACAGATATTTTAATCATACAAAAAAAGGTGGTTAGACTAATTGCAAGTTCCACCCAAGACGCTCATAGTAAACCTTTATTCCTCGAGTTAAAAATTCAAACTGTTGTTAATTTGTACATTTTTGATCTTATGTCTTATGCTTTAAAGAATCTATCAACTTCAATTTTTAACAATCAAGTCCATACATATAATACAAGAAGTAATTGTCAGATAAACAGAACATTTAATAGGCTGAGTAAAACATTGAAAAGTCATGTTGTTATGTCCGATAAGGTATTTAATAAATTGAGTAAGACTGTTCAATTTTATCCAGGTAGACATTCTTTATTTTTAAGTAAATTTTATGACTGGCTCTTAAGAAACCCTTTTTTTCTATTGACGACTTCATGGCCGTAAAGGAAGTTCAGTTTTAGACTCATTGTCAGTGCCTAGGTTAGTTTATATTGTTGTTAATATTGGTTAGTTTATATTGTTGTTAATCTTTTATCTTAATTGTCTATCAGCGTTTGTTATACTGTTTTTATCTCTTGTTAGCAGGACCTTGTCTACTGTTTTTTATATTTTAAATGTCCATCAACATTTGTTGCAATTGTTAATTTTTATAAATTTTTATCTTAATATCTGTATTTTGTTGTTGGTTCATATAATTTATTCTTTGTTAAATTTTCATATTTATTTATAAAATGTATTTATTGTTAAATCACACTCCATACTGTTGGTAATCCACAGAGCTGACACAAAAAAAAAAAAAAATTAACATATTAGACATGTTAGTTGTAATGTCTAGCCTGACTGTAGCCATGCTATATATACACATGACAATTATTGTCAATGCATTTTTGTAATGTCCAATGACAAATAAATATTTCTGATTTCTGATTTCTGATAAAAATTCTTGATTCTTGATATCAAAACCATTCAAGCCATTTTTGGGAAAATCTTATTTTTCAGTTATTTTGTGGGGTTTTATGGGAAAATCCCCCAAAAAAAATACACAAATTTCTAAAAAATTAAAAAACTATCAAAATTGTAACGACCTACTATGTTAAATCAAAACGGGATTTTTTTCTAAAATCCTATTTTTTTTTATTTTATGGGGTTTTTATGGGAAAATAACATTTGACCATAACTTTTGAACCATAATTTTTACAGAAATGGGATTTGTACCATTTTATTCAGAATTTAAAGGGCTACAACATACTAAATTTTTATCAAAATCGTTCGTGCCATTTTTGAGAAAATCAGATTTTTCCGTTTTTTATGGGTTTTTATGGAAAAATCCCCACTAATAATCAAAATTTCAAAAAAATGAAAAAAACGCCTGGAGATACCATGGATTAGAACCTACATACCAAATTTCATCGAAATCGGACCACAGGTGTAGTCTCTAGCCCTGTACACATCCAGACACACAGACATCACTTTGAAAACCACTTTTTTGGGTCCACGGGGACCCAAAATGAATATTTCCACTCAAAACTCAAACTCGAAAATGTTGACGAAAACAATACTTTCTCCATATACAGTAGAACCCCTCATATCCGGCCTTGGTTTTACCGGTCCTCTGTTTATCCGGCCTCTTCCAGGAAGCCAATATCAAAATTTTTTTCTCACAGATTTCAGACGTTTAGATGCAAGCACTACCTAGTCTTTGTGACTGCTCAAGTCATCAAACAAATTGTTCTCATTATTTATCTGTTTGTTTATACATTTATTTGCTGAGTCACTATATAGGCCTACTAACCTCTGAGGCCTAACCTCTGATCAGTTGGTTGATTATTTCCAAAGCGGGGTTAGTACAGTACAGTACCTACATTAATCTTTGTATTTCACAAAATGGATAAGAATGTAAAGTTGAAATGCATGTACCATTTAAGTCCTATAACGATCTTCAAGTCCAATTTATTGTCATTTTTTCCACCATTTAATACCTTTTGTTACCTGGAATCATCATATTTGTACTGTATGTGCTTCATTGCTTAACGATTTTAACCTACAAATAATTTTTTGTCTTTTTACAAATTTTTTATTTTATTTTAAATCCCAGAACAGACTGGAATGATACTTTTGACTGCATATTTTGATTACCTATTATTATTAGGTATGAATTGTAATTTTCATAGTAGGTTGGTTTATCCGGCCAAATCGTTATCCGGCCAGGGGCTTGGTCCCGTGGTGGCCGGATATGAGGGGCTCTACTGTACTATGGTATAGGGGGAGAAAGTAAAAATGGGGGGGGGAACTGTGGGGGGGGGGGGGATTCATAGAATGACAAAAAAATTGGATTTTCAAAAAAATAGAACAATTTATTAATTTAAGATAAATGTCTTTATTAAGCAAGCGGTTTCAGATAGAATTCAGCTTTTCAAAACAACTTTATTCATTACCTGTGATGGCTAGCCTGTGATGTGGTATATCCAGTTGTTCCTTACTTCGTGTATGGTGAGAATGGTAATTCTGCCTGAGTTTTCCACCAGGCAGAATTACCATTCTCACCATACACTAAGTAAGGAACAACTGGATAGGTATACCACATCACAGGCTAGCCATCACAGGTAATTCTTTCAAACTCAACTGTGTGAAATTTTATAATAAGTTGCCTGAGCCTCTTCAGGCAGACAGCCTTTCTCTTTCTCTTTTCAAATCCAAAATTCATAACTGGCTTGTAGCAAATCCGTTCTATTCAGTCAAGGACTTTTTGAAACGTAAAATTACAATGGAATCATTCACACTGTAAGTTAGGAATTCTCAATCTTTTTTAGCTATAGACATAACATACTTGTTGATGTTGATATTCTGTTTAATATAATTTGACAATGCCTATTCCTGTATACAACCTGGTCAACGGCAATAAACTTTCTTATTCTTATTGTCACTATTCTTCCTAAACTTTACAAAAAACAATCTATGAAAACAATAAACTAACAATCCATATTAACTTAATCAATCTCTCTGAACAACATAAATAATATAAAAATCTATAAAACAACCTACAACCTAATTTATTAACAATCTATAGGCCTATAAGCTTATGTTATTTTCCCATAACATAACAAAAAATTGGATTTTAAAAAAGGTTGACCGATTTTTATTAAAATTTACGATAGGTAGGCCGAATATCCCTATTGAATGAATTGAATTGAAAAATTCTTTATTGTTCTTTTCAAATACAATAGATACAATACAATGCATCTTTATACACTAAGGTTGTACATAAGTATTACATGTTATTGTATTTATTCTAATATAAACTAAAAACACAAATACTCCTCACAACATAAATCTAACTAATTGTAATGTTATCAAACAATAATGCCCTGAGGTTACAGAACCTGTGCGGGAAACAAACATTTTTGGTAATTGGAGCAACTCGAGATTGGAAAGATAATCTAAATGTCTATCATGTAATTGTACCATATCAATGTTTTCTGTGTTCGTGTCCGTCTTTTAAATGTGTTTTTGACGAGTTGCGAGCTTTGAAAATGTTGTCTTCGCAACGAAACATGTAAGCTGTTGAGCATTATCATTTATTGGACTATTTGACTGAGGTATTAAAAAAAACCTATTTTTGTCTTAACCCTCCGAGTGTTAAGCGTCGCGTAATCGACGCACAACACACCCGCCGTGGTGTTATGCGTCGCTTTTGCGACACACAAACATCGTTTACGGCAAAGGCTCTGGGACTGACTGAATCAGATTGAACTGGATCGAGATTGGTATCATTGTTTTCAGCAGATTCTAAGCTTTCTCCTGATGTCTGTTTCTAGACGCTTTTCATTTTAGTTCCGAATATATTGTAGCAGAAAGATGACGTTTGTATTTGTAAACAACTTGGTTAACCTCGCATCGATGACTGATGTGTTTTATTACGTTTTTCATTGTTTTAGTGTTAAAAATAAAATGTTGTGATATACTTGGTGAATTATAAGAAGATTTAAGTGATTTTGAAGGGCTGGTTGATAATCCTGAAGAAGTTGGTAGTGATATTGATGTAAATTATCCGCCAGATTCCTAGCCATGGTTAGGCTATGCATTCTTAGCTACGCTAAATGTACGAGATCTGTTTTTCACCCATAACTTATTCATTTGCAAACCTACTTCCTTATATTATTATATTTTTGGAATCCTCATAAAATTTAGAACAAAGTGGCTATTTAAAAAAATTTGTAGACCTATAAATTATAAAAATTTATTGACGCAAACATAATTTTTTTTATTTATTTTATAATTTTTGAGAAATGTTAACCCCACAAAAATTTTAGAAAAGAAAATTATTACATTGAAGCCCATAGTTTTCCAAACAAAATGATATATAAAACAGTATACTTTAGAGTGTTTTTAAGTTTCTAAGATACATTTTAATTAAGCCCTGCGATTGGGCAATAAATGGGCCGACATTAATATCATTACTACGGACACTTGGAGGGTTAACAATATAGTCCAGGGTCCGAAAACATGAATTTTGTATTTATTTTTGTACTACTTTTCACGTTTAGCCTACATTTGCCATGTTTGACAAATAAATTAAAAAAAGCCTACATATACATCTATAGCATTGAGTATAGAGGCATAAGAGGGGTGAGATAATGCTACTATAGCATTGAGTATAGACGCATAAGAGGGGTCAGAAAATGCTAATAGTTGTTAGGTACCGATTTTGGCGACATAGTTCAGGCCGCTGATGCTTGGGTCGAGGTAGTCTGTCGGTAGTGCAGTGCGCGTCTAAGGACTTCTTAATCATTTAGTAGGGTATCACAAATTTATTATAAAACAACAAAACTACGAACAAACAAATTTCATCAACAAAAATGACATTTTATAACCTACAATGAAAGCAAAAATAAAAAACAACCAAACTGGCTTACCGACAAGACTGAGGTGGAGTAGTTCGGGCCGCTGACACTACTCTGCATCAGCGCTGTTCAGGTAACGATAACCTCCATTAAGTGGCTACTCTAGTACGTGTATACTCGTCTATAGTCTACTAAGTGCACTTCAGTGGATATGGGTATAACTAACTTACACAGCCAAAGCCATTCTAATTACAAAATAGTTATCATATTCTTTAGTTTTTAACTAAACAAGACCTTAAGTTCTCCTCTATTATATTGCAACAATAAAATACCCCCGCTGCAGCAAACCTGCAGACTAAGCCAATTTCCATTTGCCTGATTTGACCTAAACTCAAAATATTTTCTTTAACATGTCAGATCTATTTCCCATTTTAGTAACATTAGATTTAATAGATACTTGGATTTGCTGCTACGGGGCAGGGAAAAAGTGTTATCGATCAAATGTTTACTAGGCCTACAGGATAAAATAAATAAATTTGCTAAATTTGATCATATTGATTGATTGATTGTTTGAATACATCTATCAACAAGCAAACCTCAAGCAGTTTTATTTTTTTCCATAAGAATAACATGGGAATATAAAACGTACAGTTTTCCAGAATTTTCTATGTACGGTAACCTTCAATCATACAACAATGCTTCAATATACAAAGTTGTTTGCATTTTTTAGCTCTAACTTACATGAAGCTCTACTTTAGCTGTAATACAAATTGGACATTTTAATTTTTTGGGATAAAAAGTATGAAATAAGTTAACCAAATTGTGAAAATTTCTAAACCCTATAACCTGATATTGCTGGTTGTTTGCATTCAAGTTTATGTTACCAATGAATGCCAAATTTCATATAATCGAACCAAAATTATACTCGAGTTATCGTGTAACATATATATAGTGCCTGTATGAATAAGGCTTAAGTTTATCTTTCAGGATTCCAAGGCTTATATTTATTTATTTATTTAAATTACCTAAATAATCTTGTTCCAGATACTTAACCAAGGGAACATGGAGTTTCCTTCTGAAGATCAGCTGGACTCATCAAAAACTTCAATCTCTGAAACAACTGACATTCCCACAACTTCAACTTTACCCATTTCACCTAAAAAACCGATTCAGTTGGGGATCGTACAAAGTTCATCAGGTAGTCGACCATTACCTGGTAATCAAAGCTCATCAAAAAAGAGTCGTTGGGATCAAGCCCCAGAAGGTGGAGAGAATGAAGTGGAATCAAAAGATACAAACGTTCAGTCAAATATCACAGAAGAGTCAAATATCAAAACACTAATTAAAAAATTTGAGGATATTTCTGGAAGTTCAAAGTTAGAGTCTAATAAACCCACCGATAGGACTACTGGTTTAAGTAGTAGTTCGGGTAGAGTTAAGTTAGTACGTACAAATTTTACAAAACCAGAGAATCCTTCGAATCAAGCTGACGAAGCAAAAAATAACCCTACAATTAGTAAGCTTGAAGAAATTGATGGTAGTGTTAGTAAGACTATTGAGACACAAGAAGTAGTTTCAGTTTCATCTAGTAAAGCTTTGCAAATTATAAGTTCTACTTATGATTCTCCTTCAGATGAATCTTCCCAGGAAGCTGACCCTATTTTAAGAAACGAAAATCAAGCTAAGATACCATCTGATAGTGCTTACGCTTCTCTTGAAAAACTGCCTCATGATGATGATAAAAAAGAACTAGAAGGTAACATTGAAGAAAGGTTGGAGTCCACTCTTTGTTTAAACAATGAGCCGGAAAGTAGTGAGATAAAAAATACAGATGCAGAAGAGAACTTGTTTGAAGAAGAAGTTGCTGTTGCAGATTCTGTTCCTACAGACACTGTTGAGAATGTAAAGGAGAGTAAAGTAGAAGGTGACGAATCTGAAGTTGCTGGAGAAACCTCAGATGCAATTGCTGTAGTTTCAAATGACTTATCTAATCCAGAGCAAGACAAAGAAGACAAAAGTGGAAAAGAATCTGTTGAAAAACAAGAAAGGAAAACCTGTATAGGATATCTTGATGAAAAACAAACTATCAATACTATTTCCGAGGAATTACAAGATGTACAAACACAACTACAGACAATTGAAATTAAAGAAGTACTTGGTTCTGATACAAAAACTGTTAATAGTTCACAAAACTGCAGAAAAGACAGTGGAATAAATTTCACAGCACCAACCATAAGTAATGTAAATGAAATAGTTAATACTGATGTAATTGAGAGTTCAACTGAAAAAGATTCTGCTATTGAAATAGTTAGTCATTCAAAAGAAGAAGACGATTTTGTTTTTGTTTCACATTCTGATTTAGAAGGGTATAAAGAAAACAAGGAATCGGCTTTGTCAGAAAAAAACAGCCATACAGAACCAGTTGAATTATCACACATTATTAAACCTCAATCCGATGAGCAATCTAACCTTCAGTTATCAATTGAATCCGAAGAAAAAGACAGCAATCTTCTAGAAGGTATAAAAAAGTCCCAATCGCTCCAAGAAGCAGGTGAGAGTGATGACCCTGTCAAAGATGATGTGAACTTATCAATTGTTGAGGCAGAACTCAGTACAGAAGACTCTGCTCATGATAAGGCAAACATAGGTAATATCACTGAAGTGTACAATGATGGCGTAGATGCCAAAATGGAACAAATGTTCTCAGAAAATGTTGATATGAATGAAGATACTCCAGTTTTGAAAGACACTATTGAAGAGGAATTAACTCCCATCACTGATGAATCAATTAAGGAGAGTGAGGTTTTAAAAGACTCAAAGAATGATAACGAAATCAAAGAAGATGAGCCCAAGACGGAATCGAGTGACAGTTTACTACTGATGCTAGAATCTGAAATATCTCCTGCAGAAATTGGTAATTATGAAGATCATAACAGATCATTAGATCTTGAGTCAAGTAGTGAAGTTGATAGTGTGCTTTCCAATGTCAAAGAAATTATGCCAGAACAAAGTGATTCAGTAACTAAAGAACTCAACGTGACTGAAGACAAAGTCAAAGAACAAGTGAGTTGTGATTCTGAAGAAGTTGATAATGTACTTTCTAATGTCAAAGAAATTGTGCCAGAACCAAGTGATTCAGTGACTAAAGAACTCGATGTGACTGACAAAGTCAAAGAACAAGTAACTTGTGAATCTGAAGAAGTTGATAATGTACTTTCTAATGTCAAAGAAATTGTTCCGGAACAAAGTGATTCAGTGACTAAAGAACTCGATGTGACTGGCAAAGTCGAAGAACAAGTAACTTGTGATTCTGCAGAAGATGGTTCAAAAAAATATGTTGATAATGAAGATACATTTCCTCAACCTAAAAAGGTAATTGATCATTCTAATACATCAAACATTGACGATGCTGAAATAATCTCAGAAGATGAATCAAGTAATCAACTTTTTCAAGCTAATACTGATATCAAAAAATCATCAGAAGCTGGCTCAGATGGTGATTGTGAACAATCCAAAATACTAATTGAAGAGATTGAAGATGTTCAGTCTTCTTCTGACATTAAAAATGAAGATTGTCCTCAAGTACTAGAGAAAGAACCTTCAGAAAATCATGCAATGGTAGTCGAAGGTTGTACAGATGTATTAGGAAGTGAGAACCTTCCTGAGACTACTACTGATGTAGTTATTGAAGATATAGACTGTACTGGTAGTACTACAGACTCTCGCACAATTGTGGATATTGACAGCAGTGAAATGTTAGTTGCTACTAATGAAATAGATAATGAAAATAAATCAAATTCAGTAAAATACTTAGAGTCTGCAGAAACTACAACCATCGCCATTTTAACTGAAAACGATGCATTACAAAAAATTGATAACATAAAAATTACAAACTCGGAAGATAATAACACCCTGATAAATGAATCGGAAGCTGAAGACAAGAAATTCTCTGAAATTGGTTTGAAATACAATGACTCAGAAATACATAAACCTAGTTTGATCACTGATTCTGAAAATAAAGGCTCTGACCCTAATGATAATCAGAAATTGAAACCGGAATCTGATTTACCCACTGATTCAATAGAAAAATCATTGTTAAGTGGTTCTAATGATTCAGTGTCTGTTTCTCACCCCCCTGTTGATTTGGCAACAACCTCAGGTAAGAAAGCTGGATCAATTGAAGTAAGCCAACAAGAAACAATAGAACGCTCCATAGATATGCTATTTGATGTAGGCCCACCGAGTGATGACCAGCCAATGAAACCCACCTCATTGTCTTCTGTATCATTGACCCAAGAAGCAGTTTCAAGTGAAGAAAAGAAACAATTTTCCGAAGAAATCCAGAAAGAGATGTTTAATCTTTCCCCTGAGCATAGTGTGCAAGTTGGAGTTGAATCAATGGATACAACAGATTCTGGTAAAATTAATCCTTCCATAAATGAATCAGATAGTGAAAATGTAATTCATTCTGAAAGTAACATTAGAAAAAATAATGATGACTCTGAACTATCTGAAGAGTTGAGCCCTGCTAATGTTAATAAAGTGAATGAACTACCGCTTGAGTTAAAAGAGGATAAAAAAACAGAATTGACTCCTGATGATTCAGATATTGCCACTATTCAAGCAATCGATTCTTTTCTTGAGGGAAATGACACAGGAATAAGTAAAAAAGACCCAGAGTCTTCTTGCGGTATAGAAAAATCGTCTATTGAAAATGTCACAAAACAAAATGTAGTGATGTCAGAAAATGAAGACGATTCAATGAATTTTGAAGGTTCTAGTTCTATAAATGAAAGAACAAATGCAGAAGATGTCATGCTAGGTGTAGAAGGGGACTTGGATTTAGACAATAGTTTGACTTATGATAGTAAAAAGCTAGATTTATCTCCATCAAGTGAGCAATCAATGTCCGGAGAAAATTATGACCTTCCTGGCGATAGTTACAATAAAGAATCATTAGAAAAGGAACAAGAAAATAGCAATTTACTGTCTGATGCATTAGATGACATAGAGGAAAGTACCAAAGAGTCTGTTTCAGACAATCTTACCACTCCGAAAGAAACTGAAGCAAAGGATCAATCTTCACCTAAACCTACTCCAGTTATTGAGGTCGGCAATTCTGACATAAAAGGGACGAGCCAAGCAGATCAAAGAAACACGGAAACCTGTTTAATTAATAATTTTAAGAATAAAGAATCACAATTTTCAATTGAAGCTAATCGGGAAATAGGAGAATTGGCGAGTGAAACTCTCCATGAGCAGAACTTACTAATGTCTACAAGTAATCTTGATGAAAACAAAAAATTAGAAGTAAAATCTTGTGATATCAACATTGACACAGAATGCACTTCCTCCTTGGACAAGAAAGAAGAGTTATTTAAAGATGAGAGTGTAAGGTTAAATACTAGTTTAACCAAAGAAGATTTTACAGAAACCTCTAATCTTCATCAGGAGAAAGATCTAAAACCAGATGCTCTTGAAGAAGTTCCCCATGCAGTTCTAAGTAAACCTACACCCCAAACCATTGAAGGTGAGAAACTGGACATTGAAAACTTAATTCCATCCTCCACTACATCGGCAAACAAAAATTTAGATTGTAGGTCAAATAAAGCTGACAGTTGTGAAATTGAAGACCCCGCTAAAAATACTAATGAAGAGTCAAAAATGGAGCCTAATGAAGAATTATTGAATGAATCAAAAGTTCTCATTTCAGGAAACAAGGTTAGTGTTTGCACAGCAAAACTCGACACAAATATTCAGTCAAATAAACCTTGTGATAACACTATTGATGAAAATGTAACTATGAATCAACCAGTACAAAGTGACGCCTATGGAGAATCCCAAGATCAAGACACGATAGATGAATCTGTTGGTTTAAAAGTGCCATATCAATCTTTAGAAGATTCACAGCCATCAGAAGCAAGCACTAACACTACATCAAAGGAAGAGACAACCATTCATGTTGCTCCTGCAGAAAAACAGACTATAGAGACATTGGCAACTGTTAAGTCACCGAAGAAAATTGCAGCTTATGTTACTGAATCTGTTGAAGAAGCTAGCTCAGATTTTTCTAAAGAAGGAGGAGTAAAACTAAGTAGTGAATCAAGCAAAGAAAAAAATGAAAGTAGCTCTGCAGCAACTGTTAAATCTGAATCTTCTAAAGAAGCCATTCCTCTGGAAACTGATTCTTCTGATTTAGTTAGTCAAGAATCTGCTGAAGACCCATCTGTTTCAGAACAAGAATTAAAGCCAAAGTTAGTTACACCCAAAGAAATTCCTCCACCTGTACGTGTATCAGCAAGACAAAAACAAAGGCAGGCAGCAGCTGCAGCAGCCTTAGCAGCTAAAGAAAAAGCTGAACCAGAAAAATCTCCTGGGCAATATGCTATCAAGAGATATGGTCCCCAAGAAAAGCAAGGAGATAAGCGACTTAAAAAATCTCTAAGTCCAACTAAAGAACTAAGTATAAAGATAAGTGGAAAAACACTAGAATCTGGTAAACAGTCTCCTCTGCCCTCTCAGAAATCCCCCAAAAGTAATGAATCAAAATTAAATGTTCAAATCTCACCTAAAATAATATTTAAGGAAGTTCCCCAAGACAAGCTTGAACCTATTACTTTAAAACTGTCAAAAGAAGAAAATCCAGTTATTGTAAGATCATCTTCACTTTCACCGAAGAAGAATGTTTCTCCTCACTCTCCTCAAGGTAAAACATTAGGTTATACTATGAAAATTGGAAAAGATTCTACAACTATAATACCTAAAGCATCAACACCCTCACCGACTAGAAGAGAATCTTCTCCCGGATCAAGTAATACTAAAGGTGACCTCTCCGGTAAAGTTGGATATCTAATTAAAGACACTGGCTTGACAATAACACCTGTTGCACCAGCTGAGTCGCAGGAACAAAAGTTAAATAAAATCACACTCAAGTTGTCAAAAGCAGGTGGGCACCCTGAAATCAAACAAGAAAATAAAAGTGAAACGTGGAAAGCAATTAGAAAACTAGGGGAGATAGATATAGTACCAGTAGAAGGAAAGAGCTCCTCCGAAACACCAAAACGAAAAGAAAGAAGTGAGGAAGGAAGTCCAGAAAAGAAAATTAAGCTTGGAGATGTGTCAGTTGAGCCTTCCACCAGTTCAGGAGTAAGTAAGCTTCAAGGCCTCCTGACGCAGGCACCTCTAAACCAGTCGGATAGCTCTGAAGAGGGCAAGTTTATAGGATTTGGATCTCCTACAGAAAAGCTTTCGCCAGCTCAACAAAGCTACGACATCGGAATGATTAGACACGATGACAGTCCTCAACCTCCCAGAAAACGAGGCAGACCAAGGAAGATAACTTCACCGGATGATATAGTTCATTCAGTGTCTATGCAGCACACTCTGCCTTCTGGATTGACAGCAAAAGACATTCTCGCTGCTAGTCTGCAGCATCAGTCTCTACAGCATCTACATGCGAGTTATCAACCCCAACAAAGTTACCAGTCTCCAGAAGATATGGACAGTTCCCAGCCAATGGTGCCATTGTTTGATCTGTTTGAAGAAACCTTCATGGAGCCAACTCCTCCAACTGTCTTCCCGGATCAAGTACAGCCTTCGGCAGACATCATCATGAGATCTGCTCGTGGTCGACCGATTGGAAGATCAAGAAGACCTCGAGGATCTGGTCCAATGAGAGGACACGAACGTGGAGGTGAGTCTTTCTGTTTTGTTATATTGATTAAATTTCTTTCTCTCTACAAAATATTAAAGCCAAGATTTTGAATTAGATTACAATTTAATAAAGAATATTAAATAAATCAAATAGAATGTTGAAAGTGACCTAAGTTAATTTTTAAGATGTTAGGATAACAAGACCTTTTCTTTACACACATAACTATTGTGATTGTTAACGTTAAGGGTTTGATTATTTCATTCATAAAAGGGTTTATTATAATTATTCACAAATTAAAAGAAAGAATATAAAAAACAAACTTTTAAGTAGGTAAACATTTTAATAGGATGTGTACGATGTAGTATTATCTCTGAAAAGCTGATCATAAAGGTGACCGTTGTCATATGAATTGTCACTACCTAATTCATTTATAATTTCTGGTACCAACAATAATACAAATAACTCATTCAGATCTTTCTGTGTTCTGACATTGAAAAAAAGCCAACGATGGTGTGAATACTTATTGGTTGTATGTTGGCTAAGATTCTGTTGTAGTTGCATCCTAGAGCATACATGGTTACTGTATTATTATTGATTTAAGTGGTTGTTTGATAATTTTGAAATTGGTGTTTAAATACCTTTGTGGTAATCGTAATTGTTGCTAGTTTCGCAACTAGTTTCAACTTAGTCATCTTCAGGCGTCAAGGATGTCAAAAGGAGTATCACTTTATAAGAAGGTCGTCATTGCACACACAGTATAAACACTTATGGACATGAAAATGGTAAAAACGGTACATTTAAAAGAATTAAGAACTAATAAAAAGCAGTAACTGCAGTGTTAAGAAATGGTTTGTTATGACCGCATGGATGCTAAATCTAGAGTTTTTTAAGTGTTTTAAATGTACAGTTTTTACCATTTTAATGTCTGTGTTCATGTTCGTGTGTAACAACGACCTTCTTATGAAGTGACCTTCCTTTTGACATCCTTGACGCCTGAAGATGATTTAGTAGAAAGTCAAAACTATTTGCAACATTACCAACAATTAGGATTAAACCACAAAGCAGGTACACCAATTTCATGGTATTCAAGGTAATTTGGAGGCTAAGATCAAAAATGATAATTTTGGTTCATCCAAACATGACAGCATGTGTATACATAATTTCTATATTTAATTCTGAAATAATGACAATTAATTGTTAAACTTCCAGGCCCAAGAGGACGTCCAAGAGGAAGTCGTGGAATAAAAAGAATCCTGGAGGAAATGGAAGCCATGTCGTTCCCAGACCCTGATCAACCGATCACTCTGGACAACATTGATGCTGAGATGGGACCGAGAATGCCGGAGCATGCTGCCTCTGAGCTGACTATGGCATTGCTCAGGAAAAGTATTGAAGGCAAAAAAGAGTTTTCAGAAAAAAAGGCAAGACGGTCTGACGGTAGTGAGGAAGGAAACAGTGACCTTGAGGCTAAAGTCAGAGAGATGAAGGAGAAAATTGAAGCAGCTTATCAGGCTGAGCTAAAATCACCCGGGAAAGAAGGGAAGAAAAGGACACCTGAGAAATCGGGACTGATTAGTAAGAGTCCTCCAGGTCTTATTCCTCTGTATCAGAAGCAAGACGAGAGTGTAAGGAGGAAATCTGCTGATGGGATGGAAGTTAAAAGAAAGTTGTCAGAAGATAGGAGGGAAGACGATCAACTCGGATCAAAAAGAAAATCAGTAGATGGAAGTAATGACTCTGCTGAAGGCAATACAGATGGATCTTGTAAAGACGACTCTTTGATGGAAGTGGATCAGTCAGTTATGTCAATTGAAGAACCTAATGAGGAAGAAGAAATTAAGACAGAACCTGAACCTCCTCCTAAGCCTGTCAAGCCTAGGCCAAAGAGCAAAGCAGAAATTAAGAGGATAAAACGAGAAAAAGACAGGTTAAGAAGAGAAGCTAAAAAACTAGCAGCTTTGGAAGCGTTAAAAGCTCCTCCACCAAATCCTAGTGAAGAAGACACAAGAATGAGTGCATCAGATCCTACTGGTAATTTGATCATTTATTTTCCTCTATCTTTTATAGTTCAAAGAACTTAATTATAAGCAGTAATGTGTCAGTATCACTTTTCAAAATCAAAGTATCTGTCCAAAATCTATTTTCAGTCCTCGGTACTGGTACCATTGTTAGGTACCTAACCAAACAGTAGGCCTACTCATTCTTTGAAAGTAGGATTCAAACTCTGATATTTGTTTACACAAGATATTCATGTTTTAATTCATTGGTGATTTATTGGGAGCAAGTAGTTTCAGTATTATGTGTGGACATTTCAAGATATTTCTGTTTGATAAGCTTATCAAAACTGGTAAAATTAATAACTTTGTGACTGACATAGTGGAACATTTCACTGAAACATCGTAATTGTAAGCATCAAATAAAACTTCTGAAATAATTTTATATACATTGTTTGAGGTGAAAAAGGTTTGTTTAATTAAAAAAAAAAAAATAGTTTAAAATGTTTGCAGTTCATTGTAAGAAAGAACAAAACATGCTTTGTTGGTTTATAATTGCCAAAAACCACACAAAATCATAAATCGTACAATCGTTATGAAAACCACCTGTTGTTGTTGGCACAGTAAATTATTTTTGTAACAACAATTTATACATTTTGGTTTATTTTATAAAATAATGGGCTTCCGTTTGATTTATTTTCATAGTCCCCTGTAAATTACCTATTTAAAAAATATTATACATAAAATATGCTATTCACACTGTCTTAAAAACAAGTAAAGGCATCAATTACATTCACTTAACTTTCTACCTGACAATTTGGTTTATACTGATAATGAAAAACCTTGTTGATGATCACTTATAATGCCAAGAATAAAATGTTTTCTTTTTCTAATAGAAAAATATTGTACAGGTGATGGACTTGATCTCGACGGTTTCGGAATCAAGAAAAATAGAATGGAAGTTGGGGACCCTGAAGGGTAAGATATTACATGTATTCTCAGTCTTAAGGAAACTGTATGTAAATTCATTATTTATAGGTACTTATACTTTCTTTATACTTTCACTTGTTGTTCTTTTGGTTTTTCAAAAACATCGAGAGAGTGAGTGAGAATGGCTAGTCCAGCAGATCTACATGAAGATGTGCCCAAGAGCCAAACATAAGTCGGGATTCCGTGAGTATGATTTTGAAGAAATATCTCCAGTTTTAACCTTATAAAAAAATGCAGTTTGGCCTAGAACTGAAAGTGACAGGTTACAGAAAAAGGGTAGATTTTGCTGCGTGATTGCGAAATCATGTTTAGCTCTTGGGCTTGTCTTCGTGCAGATCTGCATGGACTACTGCCACTCTCACTCTCTCGATGATTTCGGGCGTCCTCACAATTCTAGCAGGGCCTGGGGGCTTCTTTTTGGTTATTTTTCCAGTTCTTCACCCACCTTAATAACGTATTGCGGCTTGGAACTGAATCATTTCTATCGATATTGAAGTGGCAATAAAAAATTTACTGTGTTGGAGAAAAATAAACTCATTATTTTTAATAAAAGTGGTGTATAGAAAAATACGGTGATTCATTTTCCACTGATCCATTATAAATCAAATGGTAGGCTACACTGAAAAACTAAACCTAACCTCAATCTCCCTAGCACGTGTAGCAACAATGTAACAGCTGTTGCAAATTAGTCCGGTTCCCGTAAGTCACCCTGTATTAGTTACTAGGTGTTTAAAGCTGTTTATTTCTTTCAGAATCACTCTGCACTACTAAGGTGAACTACCGTATACTGTTGCACTGTTGGTGATGCACTGTGTTGGTTGTAAAGTCAAGTAGGCTAATTGTAAAATACTCATACTTGCAGCAATGATGACTTCCTTCTCTACAGGATATTTGCCATAACAAGTTGTGTATTGCAGCAAGGAGTTCACGGTGGAACAGATCGCTGAGTACCAGTGGCCGCTGCAGGGTGGGGAGCTGTACATGATACAAGAGCAGATCTCTACTTGGCTCGGAGTGAAGAGTTTCCAACGCAAGTATCCGGACCTCAAACGACGGAGGGTGGAGATGGAAGAACGCACCTACTTGTGTGACAGCGGATTGGTGTCTGAATCAATGTGTGACTTAGGTGAGACTTATCTCTTATCTTATTTGGAAATTTTTTTAAAGTTTTGGATCTGTTAAGTACAATATATGAAAATTCTTTTTTTCATGCCTTCCCATGTTAATGGTCTCAGAATTTTTGTTTAAAGTCAGATCAAGTATCATAGTTTCAAAAACTAAAGAAGCAAGTAAGTAAGTAATTATTAACCACTGTAAGTAGCACATTCTGTGAGCCGCTCTGTTTGTAGGCCTGTTCTGTTTGTTATTAGAACAAAAAAAATAAACTTATCAATGTACAATTCATTAACCAAATTTATTCAACACTAGCTGTGTGCCCGTTCTACGCACGGGGATCTTATAGTAGTCAGTTGAAACCTTCTTATATTAAGATTAAGAACAGCAGTTAGCTTGCATATTTGCAGATATGCTGGCAAAACTATTATAATATATAAACCTTCGCAAATACAGTATCTGACAGTTCAAGCCAAAATAAATGTTTTGCAATTAAATGTCACCAAGATCTTATGGTCCATATGTCCAATGATTAAACTAAAAAATGTTTTATGGATCCATGAAGCGTAGCCCTAAAGTAGGCCTATAATTGAAAGTTACTTTCCACATCGGTTAACTTTAACGTATTTAAAGTACTACCTCAACCTCACCATTTAACACTTTATTCCGGTTGACATTTTCAGTATCAAAGGCGCTCTTGTCCATTCCGTGAAACACTGAGAAATAAGGACATTAATGCGTTACCAACAGACATACACACAACAATCCAAAAAAGGCCACAAACTATTGATACATAAACAATATAAAGGCGTAAACAATTCATGATGGTTTGCCCAACAAATGTTTTACTCAAATAGGTTATCATTTTCTTAGCATACCGGGTAAGCTAAGATTTGGAATCCAGACAGAAAAAGCAAAACTTATAAAGAGTTAAGACATTACTTAAATTGAATACGGACGGCTCTAATAAATAAGGTGCAACACCAACGATAACTAATTTGTAAACTACAGTGATGTGTTGGTACCTACGTAAAAATGATTCTAGCAGCTACCAACGGTTCTAAGGAAAAGAACCAGTAGGGTACCTACGTAAGAACCTACCTAAGAACTATAGTACATCCGACCAATTAAATACATTAATATCTAGTCCCGAGGTTATTTGATCTCTTGCTTTTGGATTTTCTCGTAAAAAGGTATAGCGTAAACTTATCGGTGTCAGTTTGAAAAAAAAACAACCTTACCCAAACAACTTGTTGTTATTTAATAGATTACGCATTCTCTAAACAATGATTAGTATATCTATTAACATTAGAAGGAAATGTGACGAAAATCACACAATGTTGGGGTTTTGGTCATTTGTAATTATATTTCTTAAGTAGGTAGGCCATGTATTCTATGGAAAAGTACCGGTATCAAGGATCGTCATCAAAAAGGTTGTTATGAATAAATATGTAGGCTTACGTACCCAAGATATGAGCTATGGGCCTATTGGCTGTATGGTCCAGCGATTGCATCACACGGTGAGTAGAAACAGAAAGTGACACATTGGAAAAGCGAGTTTAGCACTTCCTCTGTTAAACCTCTGTTACAATCATCCACTGCAGTTGTGATTTTTTACTTTACACTTTACACAACCGCCATTGAAGCGCCGTCAATGAGTGGAAACCTTTTTTTTAAGCTATTGGCGACGATCATTTCAGTGTCCAGCCCTATACAACACTGATTCAAGGTCTTCTTTCTGGTTGTCAAAACTCAAGAAACATTTCATACTCAAAGAATTTCTGGTTCCGATTTGGACGATGTCTAGTTATTTAATTTAATTTACGGTTACACTATTAGACTATATTATTGCACTTGCGATTAATTAAATCCGTTATGTAAGAAAAACGTTTTTAATCTCACTTGGTTGGGATTTGCTTTCAAAACGTGATTCGAAATGGTTGCGGTATTTGTAAACAACATTTGTAAACATATTATTGACAGCTAGAAAAAATAATCTTGATCCGAACAGCTGTTCGTTATTTCATAGACGATTATGTGATAAAAATTGAACGAAAATTTGACAAAAATCGCACAAAACTGCATTTTTGAACGTCCGTAATTTTATTTACAAAGTAGTGAGGCTATATTTAAATCACTAAAGACACTCTCGCCAATCCAGTGAATACATTAAAATGGCTTGGATCTTGATAGGTACTCTGGTTTTCACGGAGAAGATTGCGTAAAATGCCATCTTGAGTGTTACAGACAAAGGGAAAGACAGACAGACAGACAGACAGAAATAGAGATAAGACTCGTTTCTGCTTCTTTAATGTATAAAACGTAAAAATAACCTAAAAGTATATAATTCTGAGCAAAGTACAGACAAAACTCTAATTTTATTTATATAGATAACATAACAAAGCAAACGAATAAACCTTACAACCAGCTGGTAATGGTTATCAAATAAACATAAATAAACAGTCAATGGCTAAAGGTAGACATTAGGGATTTAACACCTCCCCTTCTCAGTGAGTTTCACAAGTTAAGTCGTTCGAAACTGGCTTATGTGTTCTTTTTTGTGGTCTCACTAAACTGATAAGTCGTGATTGGTCTCTGGATCATCTGGTATGTTATGATCATTAATTTTTTTGATTGTTTTCAGTCAGTTCCTCTCTGACTTCTCTGAAATTCGTTGGTAGGAATGCTTGGTTTTGGTCATTCTGTACTGAAAACTCAGACAAGTCCTGCCCTGAACGTCTCATATTTGATCTTAATGGTACTAGGCCACTGCCTTTTTGATATTTCGTAATTTCTTGGTCCTTATTTTCTAATGATCATCCCAAACCCCACTTTTTGTTGGTTCATACAAATGGTAGACAACAGGATCTTGTGCTTAAAATGGTTTTTGCCTGCCACAGGATGATTCTGAGTGGAAATTTTGGGTCATTTTTTGTAACAAATTAGGATACAATAAGTCAAGTCTTGATTAAATTTGTCGTCCAATGAAGGGATGTGAAGGCGACTGTCCTACTATAGTAGTACTCTTTGCAGCTCTTCGATAGGCCTTTAAATACCTCTGCAATTTCAATCCAATTGAGCCTTCCTCAATGTGCATGGCTCTGATGGCATCTTTAAAGTATATCTGTGATACTTCATTTGGTTTGGTGTAAAATGTGAATTAAGAGTTTATTTCAGCATAGGATTTGGCTATATATGATACAGGATGCAATATATCCCTAATACTCTATAAGTGTCTGTTCCAATACGGCAAAGAAAAGTATTCTTTTTTTCTTCAGAAATGTTAGTGAAACAAATTATTTCTCTAGTCTCTTCATATACATTTCCCAAGTTTTCTAAGGACATTCGGCAAATCTACACATTATTCCCTTTAATTTGACACATAAATCTTGTAGATCCGTCCAGTAGTCACTGAGAAAACAGACTTACAACTGTGTTTTAAATATATAGAGATAATAAAGAAGAAGATTTAAATTCTAGAAATCAAGCACTAGAAATACAGAGCTAATAAAAATTTTCAGTTTTATGATAACAATAAACAGTACAGCAACTACTAAGTAAATGTTGCTATAAAATGGTAAATCATCAAAGAGTGCAATGTTAGTAGGGGCAATAACGTTTTGTTTATAGTTTTATAGATAATTTTTACTAGAAAATCTCATATAATTTGTTAAGTTTTAAGTTTATAATTTAATAAGAGTAAGTTTATACTTGTTTTAGTTAAAACAAGATCACATTATTTGTTAAAACAAGTTAAATTTTTGGAGTATTTCTAGCCGTGTTTAAAAAATTCAATTACTTTTCTTTTTATGAATTGGCTGCACTGTGCGAATGGTGAGCCAAGTAGCTGTATGTGAGTGGCTAGTAGCCAATGACCAGTTGTTGACTGTCTGTGTAGTAGCACATACGCTGTACTGATTGGCTATATTTAGCTGCCCTACGCACCAATGTGTGTTGTATGTATGCTGTTTTGTTTTTATTAGAGTTGAGGCATGAGTTTATTTGAGTTGCTTGTTGAATTAAAATTCATTTTGTGTTAAGTTGAGATTTCAATTACATGGTTTTTTTCATGTGATTAAATCAAATCTGTCTAGTCTGGGGGGAATGACAAATAACCGTATTAGTTAAAAGTTATCAACAATCCCCTACAATATAAAAATTAACACTAACAGTGTTGGTTACGTTTGAAAAGATTTAAACAAATGTATTTCAATACTTATTTTTAATAGATTGTTATTAAATAATTCCCTTATTAAAATGGCTATCTGGCACAGTTTTAAACTTTTTTGTAACTAATTTGTTTTATTGTTTAAGAATTTCTGCTGTTATCTGAATAAAGATAAGAAACTTGTGCAAATGCTTTGTAGCATGAATAGTGTGTGACACACCTATATAATTTTAAAGTGTAGCTTTAACATATATTTGGTTTAGTTTAATAATTAAATCACATTTTAGAGATTCTACCGTTTTATTGGATATTTCAAATTAGCTTGCTGCTCTTTTGAAACTTTTGGTGATCTTTTTTCTGACTATTCATATACAACATTGATTTGTTTTGCTTTATTTATATTTCTATAGCCTATTCATTTATTTTCTTTATTCATATAATATTCATTAAAAGTTTCAAATAAAACTACGATCGCTTCGATTGTGTCAGTCTGTCAGTTTTATTTGCACAACTTGCTGAGGCATTGATGTGAAAGCAATTTATAATTCATAGGAAATGTTCCAAGTTGTTGACCAGACTCTTTTATTGAAAGATATTGTGCAAGTTCTAATTGCCAATTTGAGGCTTTGATCATGAAAATGTCTTTGTAGTACAGTATTGCAATTTGGTATTGTTTTTTTTTAAACTCATTTGTGGAAAAGTTTTTCCAAAATCAAGTATCATGGGGTGAACATCCATAAAAATATCTTTTATTTTGATTTTTATTCGTGCAAACTTTTATTGCACAAACCATTTTTTTACTTTAATTTTGTATGTATTCGTATTACATGGTAAATATTTTCTTTTCACTAAGATTAAACTATAATTAATTATCACACTAAACATTATCAACCATAACGATCTTTTGTGCAATATTTTTCTTATTTCTACCTAATACTTTTAATTTATTCACTATGTTTACTTCCTCCCTTCTGTTATTTCCTTTCCTCTCATCTCTTTGTGTGTTTATGTGATCATCTGTTTTCTGATTTTTTTCTATGTATATACCTCCCCTCCTGTTTTATGAGATCTTCATCTACTGATTTTGTTATGCTGTGTTTTTGCTATTATATTAAAAATACTTGATTGATCCTCTAGATTTGTTTTTCTCTCCTCAAAATTACTACTCTGTGTCATGCATACAATCATAGACTAAAAGAATTAAATATAGACTGTCAGCCGTGCTGCGGTTACCATGGTTACCATAGGTTCTGGCGCACACCGCTTGGAGCGCCGTGTAGTTACGTAGCGTGTACGCCGTAACTACATGGTTCTCCCAGCGGTGTGCGCCAGAACCTAAGGTAACCGCAGCACAGCTGATGGATTTAATTATTTTTGTCTACTATGATACAATCCATCCGAATCACTACTGTGTTTATAGTCCTCAGTTTGGCTTCAGTAGAGATGTTCCTCTTGTTGTGATTTAATTTAAGTATTCTTTTCTGTTCACAGTTCTTGTGTTTGTTCTTGTATTCGATCCTATTTTCCGTATAATTCCCCCTCATTCTACTCATTTAATCTTTTCCCACTTGGTTCCCAATGGAATAACGTTTTTTTTTCTTTTTTCCTAGGACGCTAGGCACGAGCCTGGGATTATTTTTCACATTACTTCAGGCTAAACCTAGGGGTTGCGGCATTATCATTTAGATAAAATTTATTGGTGACTTGGCGGGGATCGAACCCTGGACCTCAGGGACTGAAGTCCCGCGCTCTAACCACTACGCCAGCTCGCTCCCCAATGGAATACACATCAGAGGTTGCCATATTTATATTGGAGTTTGTTAGATTTCATGCAGTAGCTATGATGCTAGAAAAATTGCATTATTTATACTTGTTGTCAGGTCTGACAGCAGTTAGTAGCTCTGAGGTGTTGGACATCATGTTCCAAGACTTCCCTGATCAGTATGAGGAGTTGCGCAAGTATATGCGGGAGAAACAAGCCAGGGAGGTTATCCTGAAGCAGAAAGGTAAACAAGTTTGTTTGGTTATTTAAATTGTTTAGTTTGCTGTCCAAATATATTGGTTAAGTTATGGCTTTCAGGTTATCATCAGGCAGATTTAAAACATTTATTGCCACTTAAAGTGATGTCTCATTTTTTGTCCTAAAATCTGTGTTCTAACTATTAGTGCACGTGAAATATGAATGATTAATATCAGGGCTAATCTTAGGTCCTACTCTACAAGGCCCAAGGTTTGGAAAAACATGTTAAAAATAAAAATTCTTAATTGTTAAAAATAAATATAAAAAAGGCAGCCAACACCTCTTTATAAACAAAGAAGAAAATTAGGGCGGCCTTTAGGGGAAGGCTAGTGTGGGTAGGGATAAAAAAACTACCTCCACCTTTCCTACTCAGAATATGTATTTGAATGAGATCCAACAGGAAACTTTTTGCGATGGCTGTACCAAATAACGAAAGCTATGGTAGTGGGGGAAGAGCTCTTATGTGCATACACAACTCATTTGCCGTTATTAATGATCCATCCACCATATTTGTTTTGATATTTCCCACAAAAGTCATTCCTATGCATTTTTCTAACAAAACCTACAACGGCCCATTAGTTTGTCAGGAACAATGAGAGAATTCTATATTCACTTTGTTGACAGAGAGGAAGAAGTTTGAGCAGACGTTGTCCAAGTCTGATCTGAAGGAACATGCCATTCAGTCCCTGGTCAGCTGGAACTCCAACCTGAACAGGAGCCGCAACGAGAGCCGCAAGTGTCACCTGGACCTACAGACCTGGACCATACAGTATCCCAAGAGCAAGGCGGCCAAGATGACACGGCCATCGGCCAAACTGGGCAGCTACCCTGTCGCCCTCATACCTGGCCAGTACGCTGACTATTACAAGCGGTGAGCAAATAGTTTAATTTCACCATTCCTATACTCAATCCCACATTAAATGCTCTTTATTGGTCACAAAACATTTCTTTTGGTCCTACAGATTTACCTTAAAAAATCAATGGTGTAATTCATCTCAATTGTCTCTGTAGATACACTCCTCAAGAGCTGAGGTATTTCCCAGTCAACACCGTGTTGTACGGTCCGCTACAGCCTAATGAGATGCACAGCACAGGCGGCTCGGACGGCAGCCAGTCAGAGAGTGAGGACAGCTCGTCCTCCGAAGGAACCAGGTACGGCCTCTTTTAAAAATAGATTATTGTTTTGCGGGGTTACAGGTATCTTAAAATAGTTTACCTTAAGCAGGGTTACAGGTCACATTTTTATTGAGTGGTGAATTCCAAACCCATAGAAAAGGTAGGTTACCTTACTGCAGAGATCTAAGCACAGAATGCAATTTATATGATGGCTTCTATGATGAGACTGACCAGCATAATTTTTGTATACTGAATTTGCCTTGATCATGAAAGGCCACGAAGTTGCCGCATCTCTTTGGTATGTTATTGTGGTCCAAAGGACACCTAATAGTTGCCCAAAAGATTTAATCATGAGGTTACCATCAGCGTTGTAGATGACTATAATTCTCACACTAACAATAATCATGATTTACATGAAATTTACATGTCAAAAACTGGTGTTTCTTTGATACCACCATCAAAGGTTTTGAGGAATCAATAATCAGAACCGGGCCATCCCCCGTGTGATGTCGGTGTAGAGGTCTTGTAGTCCTCATTTGGCTTATGAAAGACTTACAAATTCAGATAAGGCCAATCAACTTTTAATCAACCCATGACGATGTTATTTTCCGACATTGTTTCAGCGACAGCTCGAGCGACGGAGAGGGGACGGAAGAGGAGGAGAAGGAGAAGGAATGCAAAACTTGTGGTTCCAAGAAGACCAACGAGGCAATGTTGCAATGCTCGCAATGTAGCCACAACAGTAAGTCCACTAAGGCAGCACGAATCGTGCTAAAACGTGTCGACGCATAGCCCGGTTTGTCTCTTTTCATTCATCAATCCATGGCTTGCTAGAGGGGTGTATTTTTGAGTATATTTGCCTTAGGGGGGACTTCGGTTGGTATCATGAGGGGTGTGCAAGTGTGGAAAAACCTGTAGTAGGTATTAAAAAAGAAGTGTAAAGAGTTTTTTTTTTTTGAAAGTGGAGTCTAATAAACTTACTTGAGAAAAAGTCAATTAAGAATGGTCAGTAATTTACTGTTTTTCTGAAGAAAATCACAATGCACAAAATTTCAGACAGATTGGTTGTTCAAAAATCGGGCAATATGTCAACTTTATGTCATGTGACTTGATGTGATTTAAAAAATACTCTAAAGTCTAATTTCCTCAGGTAATTTAACTCAAGTCCATCCTTTTCCAAAACTCCCCAGTTAGCCTCATAGCTAATCCTTTATTGTTAGATAGTGTAATACCTGAAAGGAAAGTCTCCATGTAGAATGGGATTGTAAAACTCAGTAAAAAACTGTTTAATTTTTAAATTAAACAAGCATTCCCTAGTGAAATGTATGATCAAGTGTTACTTAAGTCACCTTAAATAATGAAAATGTTGAGCTGTGAATACATTCTAGCCTTTGAATTTTGTACTTAATACTTACTCATGTTAATAATACTCATGAAATACCAAGGTGAATGAGTTTTTGGGTACACATACGTGTTTTACACACTTGCACACCTCTATCTATCATCATAGGATCTAGTACTTGATGTGAACTCTAGGGCCTATAACTGTAAAAAGGTTAAAATAAAGAAGTCTACTTAAACTAACCCTATTAACTATACTTGTTCTTTTTTATTCAATTAAAAACTTGTCAATAAGATATCAGATCTAGCTTTTAATATCGTCATAACACCAGAAGGGGTGTTTAAAATCTTTATTTTTCAACCATCTCAATTTACCTCCTGAATTTGTTTATTTTTTATTTTATTAAATATGTATGCTTCATTTTACCAATACTTTATTGAATTTGGTAGAATCTCAAAACAAATATTCCATTAAATCAAAATTGTATGTGTTTTAAAACATTTTCATTGATATATGGTTTTTTTTGTTTCCTGCAAGGTTTTTGTGATTTGTTGTATCATTGTGCATGGTTATTTATTAATCATTTGTTTAGTTCAGTATTATTGATTGATTATGTTGGCCTAGTTATGAACCACAAGATTTGCTAATAATTAAGCATTATGCAATGTATCATGATGTAAAATGCTCAGATTCATTTATAATTCCTAAATAATTCAACAGCTAACAATTACATGTGTAAAAAATATAATTATCAAATTGATTGAAACTCGGGTCCAATCACAGATAATGAAATTTAAAGAGTGTTAATAATTTAAAGCCCTCCATTCACGGTCCAACATGGCGGTCTGCGGTCCGTCTCCGTCTGCCAATTCTGTCAAAACAAGTTCTATCTGTAAACAGAAAGTTCTCTTTATTTATTATAAACATGTTTGAATATAACTCAAGAAAGCAACTGGGAATTCTCCTAGTGTTAGTGTTTGCTACAAAAAGGTATTTTATTTTGTAATCAGATAACTATATTTAGTTTTAAAATTTATCTTCCTATTCTTAAGGTTTCTTCAATTTAGAAGCTTGTTATTGCTACAGTCGTCTCTTGTGTGTTGTCCAATGCATGACGTGTGTTAAAGTTGCATGTTTTGTGTTAAACTATGTATACTAGTCCGATTGTCGAGTATCTAAACATGTATTTTGTCCAGTACACCATTGTTGCATTGTTCTATTGTTGCACACTAGTGAAGTAATGTGTATGACTTTGTGATACAAGCACATTTCTTCTCTGACATTCCTGTTTCTATTTGCTTAAAAAGTTTCAGGTAAAGATTTTATGTACCGAGAGTGTCATAGACTTATGAGTGTGTACTAATGTTTGCAAAGGATAACATGGGGGCTTTTAAGCCCTTCAGGAATTTAAAAAAATCAAAAACAAAAAAATTAAAACCGTTTTCTACTCAGGTGGGTTTGGAGGTTTTGTATGATCGGGTTCTAAAAACACAAACTGACAGGATTGTTTTACGTTTGATAGAAATATCGGCCATAAACAGTAACATCATTATCACCTCGGCAATCACACCAGAATTACTGTATGGCATCACACTGAAAACGATAAAACCAACAACCCACTATAAAACCCTACGCAATCCTAGATAAAGTTAAATCCAACCTTTTGACCTTTTAAATAAAAAATTATCTATGTAAAATGTGTTTTTGCTGCAAACATCAATCGAGTAATAGTGATTGAATTGTTTTATTATGCCAGCTGATTAACATTAAAATCTTTGGTAGAGGAAAACTTCTTCTTTGTCTTCAGCCTAATCATCTCATTTCCTAGTTGCATCAGTAACCATGTATTGACTAAATAGGCACAGTAGTGTACTAGCCCTCTAATAAAAGACTTTCCCGTTTCCTCTCCTTATTTTCAGTTGTAAAGTATTTCCCTTCCATATTAAAAACATTTTAGTTCACAACCGTTTTTACTGATTTGTTTTTTCATGCCGACCCTTTGATTTTTGTTTGTTTTGTTTCTTTTCATCCTACCTCTTCGCTCATCTAGTTCATGTAACGTGTGCGGATTTGAACCCTCGCATGCTGAAACACGTCCGCAAATATCAGTGGCAGTGCTCAGTCTGCAAAACTTGCCAACGTTGCAACAACGCCAAAAACGAATCCAAGATGCTGTTCTGCGACCTGTGTGATCGAGGGTCCGTATCTGGCAAAATACATGTTTAGCGTAGATCAGTCTAGGGGACTTAATTTAATGTGGAAAGTTACTGTTCATTCGACAACACACAATTCATCTTGTGTTAAAAAAAAGGATTTTGCGTTTTGTTTATTAACATACTAGGGTAAGGTTAGTCGTTCATTGGATTAGCAAACTATATTAGGGAAGAATTCTACTATAGAACAAAAACAATTATTTTTTCATGATGGGTTGAATCATTTGTTAATCTTTAATTCATACGTAGGCAACATTAAATTCCTAAATATTCACCTTAATTTTATTATAGTGTTTTTATCAATTAAGGTTATACTTACCGTAGTTGTTTATATCCTGGTTTACAATAGACCTGTCCAGTATGATAAGAATAAAATAAAATTACAGTTGCCTTGGGTTGATTTGTGGATGATAGGAACAATTATTCTTGGCAGTACATGTTTTGTAATATATTAATGGCCGTGTTTTGTATGGCGTCAGAATGGACAGTAACTTTACCAACAACATCAAATTAAAAGTCTAAATAAGGCTCCAACAATATAATTCCAATAGCATGCCACAACACAAAAGAAATGTTATTGGAGTTAAAGAATACAATACGTTCAGTTCAACCAAATGGTGCATGATTCGTGTTATTGTTAAAATAAAATGCATGAAAATCGGGTGATCTATTTTTAAGTTTTTTAATGGCTGACCTTAACTTGCTTTTTACATGTTCATTCATTATCCTGTTTTTTATAATTCAATTGTTTTGATGTCAAATAATTATGTAACTAATTATTACATGACACTAATCAACCCACATATTAATATGTTATCCAAAGAGGAAGTCTACCCTAGTTTGTGTAGAAAGATGACAAAGAATCTCACAAAATTAACCCAAATTTTGAACTGTAACTGTGAAGTCAGTAACTGGTAATTCCAGTGGCAAGCTCATTAAAAATTGGTAAATGAAGAGAGAAAAAGTTAATTGTGTGTATAAAATATTTTCTTTGAGTTCCAGACATGTTATTGACCAGTCTAAACAAAATTAATTTCTGCACATAGGCTACTTTATTGAAATTTTTGGCTTTTTGCAGTCTAGTGTTTTTGTTTTGTTTTTTTTTTTACTAGGGAGTAAATGTGGCAACTTCTAGAGGATTGAACCTCTCCCTTCATAAACTGTTAATGTTCTGTCAATCTAAAGGCCACTCGTGTGAACATGAACAAACATTCATTGACTTTTTCACAATACAAATATTCAACTCGGTGCTGCAAGGGAGAGCTGTTTGGTGACATGAACGATGTTTCAGATACCACAGCTACTGTGTGGGGCTGAGGAGGGTGCCGGCTGGATCTTGGACTTGTGAACTCTGTACCACCAGTGAAGGTAATGTTGATAACACACATGTTAGAGATGTTATTGGTGCAATTACAGAGATGGAATGGAATCGCTAACTTTAAATTCAGTAAACAAAAAATATCCATATTTACATACTGTTAGTCATCATTATGTATTGATAATTACTCTGTTGTTAAGTATAACTTTTTTACCTTTATACTTATTAACTAATTTAATCTCCTTATGGCCCTTGTTCATTGTTCAGTTAAAATATTCTTCTCCTAAATTCTGTTTTGTTAGTGTGCCATCTGGAGTGAGAACAAGTAGTGGGCAAAGTACAATGATAAGAAATAAGCTCTTTTGTTTACTAATTCAGTGAAAAAAATGCCACTTTGTTTAACAACTGTAGACAAATCAGTTTCTAACGGTGATGGTTAAAACCAGAAATTTTGAATCTTTATATGTAATTGTAAAGACAACACTTTTTCTCCTTACCTTAAAAAACTACAGGTAAAAACTTTTTTTAATCAAAAATGGAAAATTATAATTCTTGTCCGTGACATGATAACATGAATATGTGACTTGTACGGGATAAACCTAAAACATAATTTGTTAACAAACAACAGAAAGATTTAACATCTGACACTTACATGAAAATCTTAAACAATATTAATCAACCAAATATTCAAACCAAAACCTTTCCTGTAACATTCTTCAACATGCTACAGTTTGTAGAAATACAGTTCCTAACATCACCTTTTTGTAGATTATATTAAATTAAGGAAAGCTAAACTGCTTTTTTGGGCTTAATAGTTAATAAAAATAATTATAACAATTTTTTGATATTTAATTATTTGTTATAATAATTAATAATTTTTTGCTGGCCGGCTAACGAGCGTCATTATGTTTTTTAATTTGTTGTCTTATACTCATTGATTTAATGACTAACACAACACTTACAAGTAAACGTTTAGTTTTGACAAACATTTGTTGTAGTTTTTGGGTCTCTTTTACTCATTTTAATTGCTTTGTTTTTGTTCCAGGGGCCTCTTAACAAGAATTAAAACCCTCTCATCCAAAGATTCCTCTTGTATGCATTTTAATAAGTTGGTCTTATTAGTTAGAAATAGATAATTACTAAAGCTTTTTCAATTGTGAATGTCTATATCATATTGTTTGTGAGAATTAGTCTATATATTTATTTGACTGTCTATGTAGTTTATTCTTAGTATGACAAATTTTATTCGGTATGCATTGTAAATAATTATAATATAAGTTTTTTATTGCACTAAGTATTTATAAAAGTCAATGTTTTATAATTTGTGTTTTTTTTTCTCCCACCTATTTCTGTTAGAGTGAACAAAAACATCAATGGTTAATTATTTTGAAAAAAAATTGACTTGGAAACTACGGCATAGGGTGTTTAAAAAGTTAAAAGTAAACAAGCCCAAAGAAATTTGCTCCTTTAGTAATGTTGCTGCCTAAGAAACCTCTGGAATATTTTAAGGTATGGATATATTTTAAAATTGTGTGTATTGTGGGTAATTTGCAATTTCAACTATTTGGCTGATTTCGCTTACATTTTTAAGTACTGTACAGTTTCTACGAGTTGAATGCTTTTGATAAAACTGTGGTTCAAGTTATGCTTGATGAAGTCATAGCACATAGCGCTAGATTAAAAATAATGGGTTCTTTAGCAATATGGTGTTTATAGACATTAGGCATATATTTTTTTCAAATCAAAAATTTAAAGTTGAACGACACAGCTTGTGTTCCAATACCGTTTTTACTAGGAATTTAAAATGAATATGACCCACTTTTAAGATGTTTTCTAATCTGACTTTTACTATCTTAAAAATCACTGTAAATAATCTGGCATGATGTTGGAGTACCTGATATTGCAAAGCACTGATACTTGATCCTAACTAACTCTCATGTAAACAAGACCTAATTTTTATTGAAATAGTTTTTAACTTTTCTTTTTACTATAAGTATTTTAATACCTTTAAAAAATGAACAATATTTTTCTTTTAATTCTCTGTTTATTGGCATCTTCCCCTTCAGTCAAAAGTGGTACTGAAGATGAGTTTCTGAAAGCTTTTCAAAAAGGCCTCGGTAAGTAATGGAATACAATGATTATTGACTTTAAAATGAAGTTTATGTTACGGTAGAAACTACAGATGGTTTATTCAGTCATGTGGTAATTAGGTGTGAATCTAAGCCAAATAATTCAGGGATTTATATCTTAATGCTTATGGTGACTATATTCAATATTGCTACAGTAGACTCCCTCTTATCCGGACTCCTTGGAACCAAGGCCAGTCCGGATAACGGGTTTTCCGGTTAAACTGACGTCCCCAAAAACTCATTAAAACAGACTGTTTACTGTGATATTCGACTTAAATTTAGAAGAGCGCCGTATTTAGACGCGTGATCACTGGTCTCAAATCTTTCCCACGAGAACAGTCGTTTCAGTACTGCCCACTTCCTGCTGATCTAGTCCGGTTAAACCAATGTGCTGATAAAAATTGTCCGGTTAAAGAGATGTCATTTCCGCTGAGTGTAGTCGGGTTAAACCGATGTCTGGTTAAAAGGTGTCCGGACAAGAGGGAGTCTACTGTATTAATGTAGACAGGACACACGCAAAAAAACATTTTTTTCAAAACGTTAAGTTTGAATTATTTACATTCAACATTTCTTTGAAGATTTACTCATGTTAGTGATAATTTATATGTAAAAATTGTTATTTTTATGTCTCTATTATGTATTCATTTTTTAAAACCCATAATAAATGTCACTGTTCTGGACAACTCGACAACCTCTGCGTCCACAAATTGTCAAGTAAGTGAGGTTTTACTGTCACATTATTAAGAACTAGGCAATAAAAGATGTTTAAATTTATGTTATAAACTACACAATTTATTCAATAGAAAACTTTGAGGGGAAATTATGGGGTGTAATCCAACTTATCTGCTGTGCTTACGGTTTCTCATTTTTCAAAGACAAGTGTGTCACAAGAAATATTTACATATACATTACACATTGATACAGGGATAAACATACATAATTAGGCCACGCAAATAAAACTTACGTCCAGACATTGAACCAAGTGCAATGAAAGTGACAACCCAGACTCCATCAATGTAGAATTTCTTAGCTTGTTTTTAGATTTGAAGATAAATCAATAATGCTCCAAAACCACACGTCTATTAAATATTGGACCGATGAAGGCCAAATGAGTGTAACCTATAATTATTACTATTTCTAAAATTTTATTTTCAGAAAAATCCATTAAAAGCTACATAAGAAATAATCTTGAAATACTTTCACAAATACTGAAGAAGCCGTCAGTAGTGGAAACGCCAACTTATCCTAAACAACTTACTCCACAAGTTATTGACAAAGCATTGTTAAATTTAAAACGTGCTTTACCAGAAACAATCCCGATGTTTCCTTTTGCTGTTGCGGAACCAATAACTTCTGTGGATATTTTGTAAGTTATACAATTATTTTATTTCCTATACTACTTGGTGTTTTACCTAAACATAGTGAAATAAAGCATTTTTTCTTCTAATATGTTAACTAAAATCTCATTATGATATTATTTTTTTATGTTAGATCTAAAAAAACCCCCTGTAAATTAAAATTAGTTCTTACTGCTACTATGAATGTGTTTGGTTTTTATAAAATGTACTAGCTGGCCCGACAGACGTCGTCCTGTCCTATTGTGGTTTTATGTCACATGCTCGTTCATTTTCAAGATGAGCTCGTTCGCATGGCTCAATCACGTCCTGGTTGAAGTTCGTTCGCTACGCTCACTCACCTTTAGGTTGGAGCTCGTTCGCTGCGCTCACTTGCCTTCAGGTTAGCTTGTTCGCTACGCTAACTCGCCTCCAGGTTGAAGTTCGTTCGCTACGCTCACTCACCTTTTGGTTGCAAATTAGCTGTTCTCATAAATAAAAAAAAATATAGTGCTGCACCCTGTTGGTAAGCCTATTAACTTTTTAATGCTATTGAACATCACAGAATCAAATTGTTTAGCTGCACCAGCTGTTAAGATTCTTTAATTCCATTTAAATATGAGTACTCATAAGGTTAACATGGGAAACTCCAGAGCCACTGGGGCGGAGCCCTATTGACGGATCTGCACCAAACTTAACACAAACCATCCTTGAATAATGCTTAATAATGCCTAAAAGTTTCATTACAATCTGTCGAGCGGTTTTGGAGTCCATAAAGGACAAACATACAAATATACAAACATACAAATATACAAACATACATTGGATTTTATATATATAGATAACACTTTTAATCAAGTTTTAAAAAGGTCTAATAAAAAATCTTATCAACATACAAAAATCATGAAATTAAATCGCTTTTCCAGTTGAATAATGTAAAGCACAGGTTTTCCGTTTGAAAAAGCAAAAGATTTAATATGCAACTTAAAAGAAACCATGTTTTCTTGAGCTTCTACTTGTACACTAGAAAAGTCCTACCATAAAAACAACCTACTGGTGTATCTTTTAATGAGCTTTTCAACAAATAACGCTAGAGCAACCTTGTCAGGTAGAATCAAAAACTCCGATCCAAGCATTTTCTCCTTGAAGAGAAGGTTTATAGTATATTGATTGTAATAATTGATGATTACGATGGAGTCGAATATACAGATTTACCCCATAACCTGTTACAGACAAATATTTTTTTAATCCATCTACGTTGATAGGGTTTGGTAAATGCAGTATCTTTGCACTTCATTTTAAAACCAAAACAATTTTAATTTTACTATTATTTGTCATTCCAGGTTCTTTTTCGGCATATTGAACAGTAGATTTAAAAATCTAACAGATTTTATATGTAGCTCCCAAGTAGAAAATAGTGTCTCCACATCTTCCATAAGTGTCAATTTCCATATAAACAGTAGCAGCTTGGAGGGACACTATGAGCTGGATGTGAGCAACTACGACATGCATTTGTATGGTGATGGTGATTACAGGTTAGAACATTCAATCTTCATTTATCTGTTGCGTTTCAAGCTTAGATTGAAACTTATCCTTTTCGGACCCATCCCTAATATGTGATCTTTTTGTTAGGTTAAAGGACCTTCCATTCACATCACTATCACTAGTGGAATATAATTAGGTTAGGTTAAATTTTTCCAACTCTATACTAACCTAACCTAACTAAAGTTTAATTCATTACGTACCACATCTATTGCTCAAATTTGTTTTTATTGTTTTTATTTCTTTTTAGGTAAATAAAAATTATATGTAGTTCGTCATTGACTATGGACAGGTGATGACAGTTTGAAGGTGTGAATTCATTTCTGTCTGTTATATACAGGGTTAGGCAAAAGTCTGGAACCCCCCTGTTAACTTTTTAACGCGTTGCAGTAGGAAAACCAAACTCGGCACATATTTACAACATAAGAAATTGCACTTTTTCATTAAAGTTACAACTTTGCCCCAGCCCCCAAAATGGGGTATTTTGGGGGCAGCCCCGAATTTTCAAATGTAAACACCTATCATGTGACCCATCATTTTAAAGGGTTTATCAAGAGAAATTGAATGGCACAAACCTGAGGTCAATATCGCACCCCTAATTAAAATGGCAGCCAATTTAATTATTTAAGATGAGCAAGCAAGATAAAGTCTGGACACCCCCAGTTAACTTTAAAAATTTCATATTTTAATACTGACCAAAAGGTGAATTCTCTTTTTTCATAAAGGTATGCTGAGTTTAGTTTTCCTGCTATAACCTGTTAAAAAGTTAATAAGGGATATTTCAAAATGATTGCCATTTTGATTAGGGGTGTGATATTGACCTCTAGTTTGCGCCATTTAATTTGTCTTAAGAAACCCTTTAAAATGAGGGGTCACATGATAGGTGTTTACATTTGAAAATTTGGGGCTGCCCCCAAAATACCCCATTTTGGGGGCAGGGTAGAAGTTCTAGCTTTAATGAAAAAGTGAATTTTTTTATGTTGTAAACATGTGCCTAGTTTGGTTTTCCCACTGCCACACGTTATAAAGTTAACTGGGGTTGTCCAGACTTTATCTTGCTTGCTCATCTTAAATTAAAATGGCCGCCATTTTGATTAGGGGTGCGATATTGACCTCTGGTTTGCGCCATTCAATTTCTCTTGATAAACCCTTTAAAATAAGGGGTCACATGATAGGTGTTTACATTTGAAAATTTGGGGCTGCCCCCAAAATACCCCATTTTGGGGGCTGGGGCAAAGTTGCTACTGTGATGAAAAAGTGCAATTTCTTATGTTGTAAATATGTGCCGAGTTTGGTTTTCCTACTGCAACGCGTTAAAAAGTTAACTGGGGGGTTCCAGACTTTTGCCTAACCCTGTATAGAGTACCGTCCTTCGTACAGAGTTGGTATATAAGTATAAAATGCTTATTGCAGTTATACTCAAGCTTTGCGTATGCAATGGGGGAGGACAGTTTGATAAAATTTGCTTCTTTAAATTTACAGTTTACATAAACATAGCCATAATGTTCTACCACTTCACCTAAACAATAGAGAAAAATAAATTATAAAAATTCACATAATATCACAAATTATTCATGAAATTAAAAACATAAACATAAGCCCGAAAGGATTTTTGAGATACGAATATGCCTATATGTTAATCGGGAATGTGAGCTATTATCATGCCAAAATTGAGCCCAATCTGTCCAGTAGTTAATGCGTGATTGAACTTCAAACAAACACACAAACTTTCACATTTAATATTAGTAAGATAAGATATTTTGATATTTATTTTTACTTCTTGTTAATTGAAAACTATTTCGACACTTTTATTAATACTGTATAGTAAAGTGCACACTTAACAGTGTTTATTATTAAAATAAGATAAAACATCTAGTCATCGTCAGCGCAATCAAATGTAATTAAACTTGAAACGCACTTCAAAACAATCTTTAGACTGTGGGGTGTAGGATGTCTACTTGAAGCATGTAAAGTTAATGATACAATTTTGGTATGAATAAATATTTAATAAAATAAACACAAACAGTGTATTGTATTAGCAGCTTGCTCTTATCGATTTGATAGGATTATCTCAGTTAAATAAAACAATTTGAATTTATACCATTTTATTTAGCACATTATTTGCTTACATTGATGATTTTTCTAACAGAATTGAAGGGATGGGCATGATGAAACCTGTAATTCTAAACAAAAACGCCTGTGGAGAGGGTTGGAAGCTTTGAAGGTCATTGTTAGAGCTTGTTAATTTTTATTTTTCTAATAAAATTAAATATTCTTTAACAATAATAAAAGCAGAGAAATTTAACAAAACAATAATGGTGATACTATTTTTATTTAGAATCACCACCAACGGGACAGATATTGCTTTCCACACCAATATAGAAATATCCATGGACGATTCATTCACGATGAGAGACTTTATTTTTAATGTCAGCATAACTACTGCTGAAGTAAGTAAACATCTATTATAATCATTAAAAAGAAGTCATCACAGTTTTATAAGCATTGGCTTTCACAGACATTTTGTTTTGATTTTTTATTGTTAACTAACCTGAGCTTTTCAACGGGGTCAGGATGCGGAGCAGACAATGTTGGTTCTTTGAAAATGCCATAAATGGTTTCACATCCACCATTTAATTTAAAAACAAAAATTCAACTGTAACACTTATCTTATTAAGTCTGTTTCTGTTAGTTTAGGTAAACACCTTTTTAGGCTCCCTGGAATAATAAAGTGATGCCGATGCACCTATGAAAATATTTTTAGACTTGTGTGATTTTGTGTTAACAGGTACGCCTGCTTATAAGCGTATTTATTTACATTTAAAAAATCAATATTGGAAGTCAATTGTTAGGAAAAACAAATTTTACAACTAAGGGTTACTGTAGTGTATGGAAAAAACATCATTGATTGTTATTAGTGGCACATAATAGCTTTAGAAACAAATAACGCTAATGCTTTGATTTAAAAAAGGCCCCTTGCCTGCAGCTTATAAATATTTGAGCTATCATTAATTATTGATATTTCACAGTGAGCAAAAAGAAGGAATATTCTGATTTTCACTACTAGTAACTTACCATTAGTTTATGAAACCTAGCATCATTGTAAATTTCACAAATTTTATTGTGTAAATATTTTAATGACAAATAAACATACAAATAGCTTGTTTAATTTTGCAACTTTTATCGGTAAGTGACATTTTGCCCGTTCCACATACCCATTGATTACTCGGTACATACAGTATAGTAAATGTTTCAAGGCACTTACTCATTTACACTCCTACCAATGATTATAGTAAAAACAAACATTAACACAATTACCGATGGTTTTAGAAACAAAAGTCAACTGCAAACAACTTAGTTTGAAAACAACCTTTGGTTTGATCATTGACTATTGGATACCTGCAGAAAGTACTTGCCAGTTGCACTTACCACTTATCATGAAACTACCCCTATTTTTTATTAACTTGTTACAGGACATAAGTTTCCCCATTGACCAGGTAAGTATGCAGCAAGTTCAACTGGCAACTAATTGCTGCCAGCAACTTACCGTCTTTACTTTCCTCATCCATTATAAGCCGCTGCATGGTAAAATTCTTGGAGGTTGTCAGTTTTTATTATTTTCTAGCTAACAATGACCAATCTGCTAAACGGAGATCCATCGGCTAATAATCTCACAGACTACGTAAGCAAGTTGATGCCTGCTGAAGTGGCAACTATGAATGACATGTTCCAACAGACTGTGAACAGCTCTGTAGTACATTTTACTAATGACTACATCGCTTCAATCATGTCTTGGAGGGAAATTGTTGATTTTGTATACATCTTGGCTGAGATTTAATTAAACATTGTGATTTTCTTACAATCTTCAATTTTGTTTAAGGGAGTGAAGTAGGGTTCTTGTGAGTACCTACTTTTCTGAAGGTTGAACACATCAAATCTCTAAATGATTGAGTACACTGAAAAGTTTATTGATCCTTTAGATAAAATTGGCAATCTGATCACAAATTATGTTTGTATTTATTGTATCCTAAGTGTAAAGTTTGTATCAATATATTGCTATTATAAACATACTGAACAACAGTACAACTTAAATATTTATTTATCCTAATGTTTAAGACAATTTCAAAATGTACATTTTAAGTAATCCATTGTTTTAGACTCCTAGAAATTCCTAAAAATAAAAATACATGGCTCAAACTCTGTGACTGAAAAAAAAGTCATTGAAGATGTAATGTAATATCAGGCTGGGTTTAAATCTTATATTTAAAAATTTGGTTTTTCTTTTCTGAGTTTGTTTGGCTCTTCTACCTAACCGATTATCATGATTGAGGTTTCAAATTGAAGGTATGCACTCACAGATTTCACATTAAGCATCGCCATATTTTTCTTTCGTTCTTTATTTTGCTTTTATCAAATTATCAATATCTTTTGGCATGAGTATTTCTGGCTGTACCTCTAAGTAAAATTTGGATAGAATTCTTACTCTTCAAAAAAGAGCAATCAAAATTATCAATTATGTTAAATTTAGAATGGGACACTTCTGCTCGTCAATATTTTTCAAAAATGGGAATAATGACTGTGTATAGTATTTAGGTTTTTCATACAATTTTACTCCAAAAATACTATCTAATGGTAATTTGGTCCCAAGACTTGTTGATAGTTATAATTATTTTACCAAGAACAGAAATGAAATTGCTGTCAGTGTCCATAATTTGAAGAAAAAAAACCACCTGTGCAAGGAAAAGGTTTTTGGACAAACTCCCAGCTGAGTTGAGGAATATTGATAACGTTTCCAAATAAACTTGAACATTTGTTAACTGATAAAACACTTTGTGGTTTCGATTTCGATGTAGGTTAGATTGATTTAGTTTTAAGCCTAGTGACTCCATTCAATGTATGTGACTGTATACCATATGAATAAAGATATTTTTTTACATTTCATTCATATATTCCATTCATTTATATATTCATTTCATATATTCATATATTAAGTCCCTCTCGGCTTATACGTAAACAAAATTTTTTCCCAATGGATCTAACTTATAGGAGTTTATAATCCTTAACATCGTCTTATAAATTTTAATTTATCTCCAGTTTGAATGTTTCATGTGGTTCATGTGTGTGTCCAGTTTCAAGGCAAAGAAGTTTTGTTTTGGTCTTGAAATCATTAAATTCTGGGCTTCCACATGAGACGTTAATCATCTGAATAGGACAAGTTTAAGGTGATTCATAAGCCTCCAATAAAAAAATTGGAATTTTTCTGAAATTTGAATACAGTTTAAGATCTGTACATCAAGATCTAATTGTGATAGTTAAATGTTTTGCAGGCTATCTATGCAACTATCTCATTTCAGCATTACTAATCATCCAAAAAATTAATGTGATCTATACAAGTTTTTTTAGTATAAATTTCCCAGACTTAACATTAATTTTAAAAATTTTACCTGACTTTCCCAGACTTTCCAGGTCCGTGGGAACCCTGTTGTTTATGTTTCAAACTGACATTCAAATAAATGATTTACAAAACCTTGAGTAGCCTAGATCAGTTTATTCTCTAAATATTACGAATTTGAAATGTGTACAATTGTAATGATAATCCTCACTAAAAATTTCAATTATAATTCAAAACTGAAAAACAACGGCTTATGTGATGTATTTATTGTTAATGAGATAATTTAAAGGAGGCCTAAACGGAAAAATAAAGACAATTTTACGAACATAGAACGTTATATTTAGAAAAACTGATTAATAATTTAAATGAAAGCGAAAAAAGAGCTTAAACTATCATTTCCAACTCCCGGGCGTACTCAATCACTTGTTCTATGAGCTCCACAGAGGGCAGAGCTTCATCTGACTTCTTTTCTTCTACTCCAAACTTGAAATAGTTGTCCTTACCCAAGGTCCAGCTTTTCTGAAAATGAAGTAAACCGTTTAAGAAGAGTGTGTTTTACAGTAACTGTTGACTGAAATCATGATCTGGTTAGATAATCTAAGTTTTAATAAGACTGCGATAGAAAAGCACAAGTGTTTGATGATGAAAATTAGAGCTTACCTTGTTTCCGTATTCTTTGATGGCCGCCTGGTTGGGAAGGTTGAGCATCCTCGTAGCATCATGGGTGGAGATCTTCCTGTACGCCTTCTCCAGGCAGTTGGCGATTTCATCCCTCACTGTCTCGAGGAGAATGTCAATGAAGAAGTTGTAACTCTCCGCAGGTACGTTGCCTTTAGCCAAGAATATCTGTAATCAAAATTGATGCTGTAGGCCTATGTAAGACATTCATTCCATAACTAGTGGGTCATTTAAAATTTTAATAAAAAATTAACATACAAAATTGATGGTAAAAGAAAATAAGGGGTTCACAAAAAAGTTTACAATGAGTGGGGAATGAATTTAGTAATGAAAGCTTTAGGCTAAGCCCATTACAATAGTTCTAAAGGTTCAGGTGTTATAATTTATTGCATGGATCTTTATCTCAGGTGGGGTTCAAAATAAAGACAAAAATTAACAATTAATAACATATAATTGATAAGTAACAATTAATTAATAACATAAAAATTGGATTAATTTCTAGAATATCACCTGAAAAAAACATTAAAAAAAAAATCTTTGTTAGAAATTGGTACACAAATTTTATGAACGGCATTTGAATTTAATCTTGTGATTTTATATAGCGTAATAAAAATGTTGTTTGAAATATAAAATAGGTTCAAATTATAGATTGGTTGAATTAATTAAAGTTCTGAATATTAAGCTTCTATTAGTTTCTTGACTTTGAATTTGAGCACAAACGTCCAAAGGTTAGGCCTAAAAATGTTTTAATGGCTTCCAAAGGGGAAATGTCTATTGGAGTGATCTCACCAAATTGATGTCTTCTTCGCAGCAAAATTTCTTGATGTTGTAACTTAATTATTAATGTTTGTAATAAGGACGGTTCTTTTTCAATCAAATTTCACTAATTTAGGTTCAAATTTAGGCACTTTTTTATAAATTTTGATATTAAAATAGGTAGTATCCAATTTACATCTTCACACTAGCTCAGTTCTCTTGAAAGTAATGCAGGTTTGATGCATTGTTGCACTCACATAATGTTAATGCTGACTTAATCACATAAAATTGTAGGCCACTGTTCACACATATATATTATAACAAATTTCATTTGCTATAGAGCTAAATTATAATTTTGAAAAGTTATTTAAATAAAATTATATTGAATTTGAAGCAATTTTGTTACAAAAAGTTATAGGCTATAATATATTTACATGAAATTATGTTATTTGAAAATTTCTATATTATATTGTGTCGAATCAATTACCTATTGGTCTGTTTGGTCATATATTATCTATATATTTAATACACAGTTGTAACACTGTTTTCTCAGTAATTACTTGACCGATCTACAAGATTTATGTCTCAAATTAAAGGGGATAGTGTGTAGATTTGCCGAACTTCCTTAGAATTTACGTTTTTTCTAAGGGCTACGACCTACAGCCCTTTAAAGGTCGAGTCAATACAATTCTTATTGAAGAATATAATACACAGTTTATAAATTATTCGTCAGCTGTTTAATGTTTGTCAGATATTTGTTATTATTTTTATAACCTCACTTTCAGTATGCAATTATTAAACTTGGAGTTTCTGTTTATAAACACACGATTTTGATTAAGGAAAGTGTATTTGTTAACTTATTTTGAAATGTTTTAGTTTTCCTGCAAAGTGATCTGAAGGAAAGTGGTAATTGAGTTTAAGTTTGAGTATGGAATGTGAAATAATACCCAAATCCGCTTGCAAGTTGTACATATAATTGCTAATGAGTGGGAAACATACAAACATTTTATAGTAGGTGACGAATCTTACTCAAGATCAGTGTTAGACGTTCAGTGGTACCAAACTTTACCTTCTCGAGATGGCGAGTACGCCATACGTGGAACTACAATATATCAGTGAATTTTTTTTTCTAGTACACAGGGAAGTTGCTTGAAAACTGTGACTTACCATTCGGTTCTGGCGAAGAAGTATGTGACTTGATGTTTAATGGCAATGTTGACTCGGGTCATTATAGCGTTATAAAACTTAATCATTAACCCCAGGGTGTGAAAAGTACAAAAATAAAAAGAAAAGGTAATCATTAACCGGGCGTAAAGTTGGGGATAGTCATAATTATTTCACCAGAAATCGGGAAAACCTTGCAATTGGCCACCATAGTCTAAAACTTTTTGAGAAAAAACCCATGTATGCAGGATCAAAATTTTATAATAATCTCCCAATCGAAATTAAATCAGAGACTTCCAAAACAATATTTAAAAATAAATTAAAAAGATTTCTCATCAGCAAGGCTATTTTTTCTTTTGAAGAGTTGAATAGTCTTTGAAATCAAAAACAAATTCAATTTATGTATTTTTTGTTTAGAAAGTTTGTAAAATTTTGTTTTTATTTTATTATGTTATAAATGTATTTAATAACTATTAGGCCTACTTGCAACTGTTGACACTATTCAATGTATTATGTACAGGAAATGAATAAAGTAGTTTTGAATTGAATTGAAAAAGAGACATACCGAACGAAAAAGAAAAAATGTAGAGAACCATCGAACTAAAAAGGTAAAGAGCAATGTTGGTGTTAAATGTGCTCTGGAAGTCCCTACAAAAAAAATACCAACTCTTTTGGATTGGGGTCGTTAGATTGGATTTGTCACTACTTCAAATCTATGAATTTCGAGTCAGAACAGTCTAACTGTGACACAAAAATGTTTTAGTTTTCCTGCAAAGTGATCTGCAGGAAAGTGGTAATTGAGTTTAAGTTTGAGTATGGAATGTGAAATAATACCCATAGTAGGGGACGGAAACTTAGCCTATTCTTTTGATCAATATAATTTATTCTCTATAGCCACCAGAACAATCATAGGGAAATCCGCTTGCAAGTTGTACAGATAATTGCTAATGATTGGTAAACATACAAACATTTTATCGTAAGTGATTAATCTTACTCAAGATCAGTGTTCGACGTCCAAATTTTACCTTCTCGAGATGGCGAGTACGCTGGGATATTTGGAACTACAATTTATCAGTGAACTATACCCTAACTATATTTTTTCGAGTAGGCCTACACAGGGAAGTTGCTTGAGAAACTGTGACTTACGATTTCTGTTCTGGCGAAGAAGTATCTGACTTGATGTTTAATGGCAATGTTGACTCGGATCATTATAGCGTTATAAAACTTAATCATTAACCCCAGGATGTGAAAAGTACAAAAAGAAAAAGAAAGGTAATCATTAACCGGGCGTAAAGAGACTTACAGAACGAAAAAAACATGTAGAGAACCATCGAACTAAAAAAGTAAAGAGCAGTGATGGTGTTAAATGTCAGTTCTAAGTATCACTTGAATCAACATCTTTCTGGTAGTGGTAGTCTACATAGTTTTAATATCCACGACTCTTTTTCCATCAAATTGGACCGTTAATACCCTCTAACATTGAACAAAGTATGCCCAACTTTATATATACGACGTAAACACAGCTTTTACTCACAGTATGGGTCTAAGATTCGTGAAATGCGACCAACTGCTGATGCGTGATTTACATGTAGGCTAAGTGACTATCTTTATTCCATACAACAAATGTAATGAAAAAAAACTACGAATATAGGAATATACTTGAGCAAATTATCTAAATAGCATAAATAGCTGCTTATTAGGTTATCAGCATTGCCCAATTCGTATACCTACTATTTATTTTTCAAATGAAACTCAAATTAATATAAAACATTTATTTGGTTAACACGTTCGCTACCGAGCGACGCACATTTGCGTCGGTCCGGTCACTCCTACAGACCAAAAGGAATGATCAAGACGTTGCTTACAGACCAAGTGATATATGAATAACATTGCCGACAGACCAAAAGAGAAATATCGTTTAAATGGA